ATCAGGAAACAAAGAACAATATATGGCTGCCAAATACAAACTGAGATCTGCAATGAGAAGAGCCAAATCCAATTATGCCACTAAACTTGAAGAACAAATTACTACTTATGACACACATTCATTTGGAAAAAACTCCAAAACATGACAAATTATAAAAAGAAGCCCACTATTACATCTGACAGCGATAATCATCTTTTTGATACACTCAACCTCTTCTATGGGAGGTTTGAGCAGGTACCTGTTATACCACCATCCACCCCCGACCCTCTCCCTGCCCCCCTTTTACTATTTACGAGGAGGAAGTGAGGAGCATCTTCAGGGGACTTAAGAGGAATAAAGCCCCAGGCCCAGATAACATCTGTCCTACCGCTCTTTACCACTGCGCTGCAGAACTGGCTGGGGTCTTTGCCAATATTTTCAATACCTCCCTCCGTCAAAACTCAGTATCTAAGTGCTTTAAAGAATCCATTATCATCCCAGTTTTCAAAACCAAGACCATCTCTTGCCTCAATGATTATCGACCTAATGCGTTGACATCAGCAGTTATGAAGTCATTTGAGCGCATCGTACTCAGTTACCTAAAAACTGTCACCATCCCCCTCATGGACCCGTTCCAATTTGCATACAGAGCCAACAGGTCAGTTGAGGACACCGTCAACTTAGCAATTTATCACATACTGAATCACCTTGAGTCCGCAAATACATATTCCGTTTATGGATTTTAGTTATTTTAATATATAATTCAATAAACCCGGCCAGACTGCTTAATATACTACTGGACATGAATATGGACCCTTGCATCAGTTACTGGATTCATAGTTTTCTATGGAATAGGCAACAGAAGGTAAAGATTAAAAATAATACATCCTTCCCTCTGTTACTCAGCACAGGTGTACCTAAAGGCTGTGTCCTCTCACCCTGGCTTTTTCCATTTTCCCCTCTACACAAACCATTTTACATCACACCACAGTTCTGTCAACCTATATAAATATGCGGACGATACAGCAATTGTAGGACTCATTACCAACAACCAAGAAACTGCATACCATGCACAGATCAACCAAGTAGTGACCTGGTGTACAGACCATGATCTTTTACTTAAAACATCAAAATAAAAGAACTTGAGAAAATAAAAGAGCTGAGACGTCAGCCATCCTCCAAAACACCTGTGCTCACTGATGGCGAACCCATCTCCATCGCTGATAGATTCAAATTTCTTGGGATACACATCTGTAACAATCTTAAATGGAAAATCAACACAGATAATATCTACAAAAAAGCTCAGCAAAGACTTTTTCATCTTCGACAGCTTAAGAAGTTTAGAGTAAGGTCTCATCTCCTGCTCCGCTTCTACATGGCCATCGTCGAAAGCATCTTCATCTCATCCAACACAGTCTGGTTTGGCAGTCTTGACTCATTTTCCCGGAAGAAATTACAGCGTATCATTAACAGAGCATCTAAAGTTATCGGTTCACCCTTACCATCCCTTGAATCACTCTATCACAAACGGACACTATGCAGAGCCCACAAGATAATTACTGATACTTCCCATCCTGCACATTTCGCCTTCAAACTACTGCCCTCTAGGAGGCGTTACAGGACAATAGCCTGCAGAACAACTGCTTTAAAAACAGTTTTATTCCAAAAGCGATACACATTCTGGACTCTGATCTCTGAACGCTGAGGACAGTGGATTAAGCATGACCCCTCATGTATTATGTGCTATATATAGTAATGTGATGTCTGTATGTACATGTATGTTACTTTATATGTTAATGTCTAAATATCTATTATCTAAATGTTGGAACCTGTATCAAAAAGCTGTACTGGAAACAAATTCCACCAGCCTGGCTGTGTGGTCATTAAATTAAATCAATCAATCAATCAATTAATCCTGTTATCACGGGAGAACAGAGTTAAAAAAATGTCTGAATAGATGCCCACTTAGGGCTTCCGTACCTTGCTGCTGTTATGAATATGATGATGTGTTCTTATTCAGATGTCATGTTGTTCTCTGATGAATTCTGCTACTAGTTTCTGCAGCAGCATTTCCACAATATAATCCAGCCAATTGAAAATTTATGTAAATCAATTTAAACTAAACTAAATGTTTACTATCCATTATTTGTTGTTGCTCATTTATGTATTTCATGTTAGAAAGCAAGTGAATTGGAAAACAGCTAAAAGTGTAAAAACAGCAGCCACCATAACAACTGCTGTAGAGTCAGTTCATCTCATCTTCACCTCTTCTGCTCACTTGATCTCTCTGTATTGTTCCTTGGACCTTCTGTCACCTCTTACACCACCCTCATTAACCTGCAGTCTGTTTTACAGTTAGTGTACAATACAGGAAGTACTGACCATCAGGGTTCTCTGTTCATCTTTTCAACAGCACTGTGTGGTGTTATACACTGTATATATATACAGTCCACATTGGGCCATATCAGCCATTTTCCTTCGCTGGTGCCATGTGACTCGTTAGTGAGGTTTTAGGTGTGAATGGGGAGCAGGTGTGTTAAATTTGGTGTTATCGTACTGGTCACTGGGAGTTCAACATGGCACCTCATGGCAAAGAACTCTGAGGATCTGAAAAAAGAATGGTTGCTCTACATAAAGATGGCCGAGGCTATAAAAAGATTGCCAAGACCCTGAAACTGAGCTGCTGCACGGTGGCCAAGACCATACGGCGGTTCTACAGGACAGGTTCCACTCAGAACAGGCCTTGCCATGGTCGACCAAAGAAGTTGATTGCACGTGCTCAGCATCTCTTACGTAATCTTAAATGCATGTACAAATGAAAATCCGTTTTAAATGCATCACTCCAAATGCAGAATACATTAAATCAAGTCATTTAAACACTCACCCTGCTCTCATTTCTTTCTGACGTTAAAAAGGAGAGAAAAGGCCTTCCTCCTGCTCCTTTAATCACAGATAAGGCTGCTTGTCTCTTCACAACTGTCACATTAGCAAATAGTGCCTTCTTTGCAGTTCAAAACAATAATTTTGACATCATCAGGGGATACGTATAGAGAATGTTATCTCAAAATACAAGTTTTAAAACTTATTACAGAATATTATAAACTCAGAATAATATAAATTTAAAGCTGAAAACTCCTTATCTTCCCACCTCTTTTCACGCTTCCCTTCGTGTGAGACGCCTTTTTTATTTATCTTAAGGGTTGAGTTGCCAGCAAGAGCGAACTTTCGCTTCCTCTTTACTGGGAATCAACATATATAATCTGAAATATGACCATGCTGATAATGTTTCACATAAAACTGCTCTCTGATAGCACTGCCATTTCTATATTTATACTCCACACACATACATGCACTTATGCTCAGTCTCACATCTAAGACTGTGACCTGTTGTGCAGTGATTGTTAATGTGTCAACCTGAGCACAGGTAATCACGAACAAGAAACACATAAGTCTCTTACTGATCCGACCATTTGTCTTTAAATTTTAACAGGACAAGGGTGTTGAAATTATTTCGCGTGTGTGTGATTTAATAAAATTTTCAGTCAACATATTCTGGATCAAACTAAAGATAGCAAACCAACAGAAAGAGAGATAGAAGAAGGAAATATAAAATTAAAGCACATTCATCTTCCTGACTGATCAGACAGAGTGGAAGGAGTGAAGTGATAGAGGCAGTTCTACTTCAGTTGAATGATTTGTCTCCATCAGGATCAAATTCAGAATGAATATCCACCGTGTTCTGTTCTTCTGCTTCTTCTCAGGTGAGGACTGATTACCTGACTGTCTCTTTAAAGCTGCAGCACACACTTTTTGGTCACTGTGTTCTTATTCAGGTGTCCTGTTGTTCTCTGATGTTTTCTGTTACTAATTTCACAATCTAATCCATTTGGAAATAAATGTAAAGCAATTTAAACTAAACTTAATATTCATTATCCGTTATTAATAGCTGCTCATTTATCTAGTTAATGTTAGAAAGTAGGTGAATTTGAAAACAGCTAAAAGGGCAAAAACAGCAACTACCATAACAACTGCTGTAGAGTCAGTGCATCTCATCTTCACCTCTTCTGCTCACTTGATATCTCTGTTTTGTCCCTTGTACCTTCTATCACCTCTTACACCACCCTCATTAACCTGCAGTCTGTTTTACAGTCAGTGTACAGCACAGGAAGTCCTGACCATCAGGGTTCTCTGTTCATCTTTCCAACAGCACTGTGTGGTGGAAACACTGGGCTCGTCAGCGCAAAAGTCAACATTTATACAGGAGCTGAGGGAGAAACTGGTACAATTAATTGCAACGTGTCTCCGTCTGGAAGCAGGAAGTTCTTCTGTAAGAACGAATGTAAAGCAGAAGATATTCTGGTTAAAACAGATGATGTCAGAGCTCAGAGTGGCAGATACAGCATTGAATACAGAGATGGATCTTCTGGAAGAGGAATTGTGTCTGTGACCATCACAAATCTGACCAAGTCTGACTCAGGACGGTACAGGTGTGGTCTGGGCGGGACTTCGGTTCCAGAATCATTCAGTGACTTTGAGGTCAGAGTTTCAGATGGTGAGTTTCTACTGAAAGTCATTAAACCGGATATATTTAGTAAATTCAACATGTTTAGTTTTAGATTTTTAAAGCTTAGGAAAAATATACATTTAAATTGTGGGGAGAATGTGAGTGATTTATGATGTATGGACTCTCAATTTATTGATATTAGATCAAATGATTTCCCTTCTAGTCACAGCCTGTGGTTGAACTGGGCAGCTCTCAGTGTGACTCTGTGGATCTGTGTTAATGTGAAGCAGGAAGTACTGTGATCAGACGCGTCTTACAGGAAGAACAGAAAGTAACTAATGATTGTTTCTCTTTTCAGCAACTGGAATCTCTGGTTTTCTCCATACATATACTGAAGGAGAAAACGTCACACTGGGATGCAGCGATACTGTCTATGGAAGGCAGAAGTTCTTCTGTAAAGGTGAATGTAAAAAAGAAGAGGACATTATCATTGACACAGATGGGAACAGAGCTCAGAGTGGCAGATACAGCATAAAGTATGACGCAGGATCTGTATTTGGACTGTATGTGAGCATCACACAGGTGACCAAGTCAGACTCAGGACAGTACAGGTGTGGTTACGGCAGAGCTCTGTCTCCAGATTCATACCGCAAGCTTCAGATCATGGTCATAGATGGTGAGTTTTTGTTTTATTGAATGTCATAAAAATGTGTCTTCATAACCCATCTACCTCCTGTTCAGAGCACGTTAATTTAATTAAAAAAAAGTCCAAGGTGGATGTGATCCAGAAAGGGTTAATGGTGTGCAACTTAAACCCCAGCAGTATATTTTAATGATCAGATTTGCATTGATGATAATGGTATGGACGGACCTTCATCGCCAGATCCCTACCGGGAGTTTGAGATCTTTGTCTCAGATGGTGAGTTTACACTTAAAGTAAAATGAAAATAAATGAGAATAAATGTTTGTTCATGTCTCTGGAGGTCTGAAGAAATTTTTCACTGACAGCTGCTGATGTATATCCCCAGTGAACTCGGATAAATGTTCATTTAAAACCGTTCAGCTGACACACAGACACAGACTCATTTCTCTCATCAGGATTTCTGCATGTTTATGTTCACAGTTCCAACCACTTTAAAACCAACATCGACTCTACCGGTCTTTTTAACATCAGACCCATCAGTCTCCACACCAACACAGATTTCTCAGACTGACCAGCAGCAGACTGGGACAGCATCACCTCGAGGTACATCCACACACTGTTTGATGAAAATCTAAGACTGAAAGCAATGACATGCAATTGTCCTTTCAGCACCTAGCAAAGCTTCTCAGCCAGTGGCTTTGGAGAAGGTCCCAGTCAAAGCTGTGAAATGTGTGCATTGTCTCTGTGTGCATGTGTGTGTGTTAATGTGTGTATGTACAATAGATCTGCATGTTTTTATGCAAGTACATAACTGAAGTGCTTGTTTGTACATTATTGCACGGAATAGCTCCATCAAACACAAATGACATCCAGATTTATACATCACACTCCACTTATTACAGATTTGTACAAGCGACTAACCGTCCCAGTTTCCCCATCACTCATCGTGCTGGGGGACCTAAGTGACATTAGTATAGAGGTTGACACATCATACATGCTTCTCACTGCCTTATGCATCGCCAAGAAAACTATCCTCATGAACTGGAAGGCCAAAAAGAATATTATTATCACCCAATATCGGAATCACCTTATAGATCACATTAGCAGGCAGTAAATGTCTGCTGTAAAAAAAACAAAGTGACACAATTCCAATCTCTCTGGTCCCCTTTGATCAACTTTATCACTTAATGGGGGTGGGTGTGTCCTGCCTTGCTGGTCAGGGTCCCGTATGGCCGGTAGGTGTGTCTGCGGTGCGGGCGTGGGGGACTGTTTATTTATTTATTTTTTTAATGTTGGTTGATGGCGTGGTGTTGGCGGGGGGCGGTGGTGCGGCGCTCGAGCTGCCTAGGACGGGGGGACCGGTGTTCGCCCTGTATTCGGCGTGCCGCTGCTGCGGGGTGGGTAGCCACTCTGCTTGGGTGTCGCGCGGTTGTTGGTATCGGTGCGCGGGTGGTGATTTTGACTCGCGCGCTGTGCGGATGTGGTGGCGCTCGGTGCTTGGCTGCTTGGATTCATTGTGCTTTTTCCCTGGGCAGGGTCTCTGAATGGCTGCTGGGCGTTTAGTTTGTGCATTGGAGTCCGGGGGAGGCATTTCCTCGTTGGCTTGGAGGGACCTGTTTGCGTCCCTGTTTTGCTTCATTGGCCTCGGATCCGTGCTTCCCCATTTCTCTGTCGGCCAGTTGTTGGACCCCTCTGGATACTGAGGTATATAGTTAGTTTTCGAAATGTGCAGTGTGGGTGCGTGCAGGGCTGTGCAGGGCAGTTCTTGGCCCTTGACAGGTGGGTGGGTTGGTGGTGGCATGCAGCTGAGCTAGTTGATTTTGCCTCGTTGCTGGTTTGGCTGGTGTTGCACGGCGGCTGGGAGGCGTGCTGGGCATGGGGGATGTCGGCTGGTGCTGGTGGCCTTAGTTTTTTCCGGCGGTTGGGGCGGACTTTTATTGCCGGGTGCACGGTGACCTGTGCAGCGCGTTTGCTGCCGGGCTGGGACTTGCTGCTGGTGTTTCTCTCCGCTGGCTTTCGCTGTCGTGTTGTTCCGTTTGCTCTCTCTCGTTTGCCCGACCTCGCACGCGGGATAACTGGTTGGACTTTGTCTGTCTAGTGGGTACAATATGATAGACAGGGTTGAACAAATGGCTATAACAAAATAATTTAATTTAAAAGACCTGTCCCCAGATGAAAGCATTGTTCTCAGCTGAAGAATGATTCACACACGGTTCAGTCAGTGTTGTCCGGACTTTGAATGTGGTGTCCAATTTTTCCTGGACACCTGCCAGAAAGAAAAAAAGCTGAAAATCAAATGCTTAATAGTTTTTTGATATTTGTTGATTTTTGTGTACCTTGATTAAGTGCAATGAGCTCCGACAGACTATTTCCACTTCATTGATGGACCCTGTGGGTGAAGTCTGGTGAACTACCCAATGAGAAAGAACACAGTGTGTTCCAGAAAATTCTTCTCTTCAAGGAATTAACTTTTCTTCAACAACATGTTCTTCTACAGAACGTCTTGGGTTACGTATGTAACCCTTGTTCGTGGCAGGGCTGAACTATGTGCCGGGTGCAGAAGGAAGGTCCAGACTGTAAAACCGGATAAAAGTGTGAGGGGTGGTCCAGCCAGCCCTGTCACAATAATCCTGGGGTGACGCCCCTGCAAGGAGGGCCCGAGTAGAGTGCGCCCTTACGGCCATAGGTGAAGGCAAACTGCGCACCTGATAGGCCAGGGAAATAGTCTTAACGGTCCAGTTGCTGATGGTGTGTTTAGAAGCGGGGAGCCCAGCCTTGGGGGACCCGAAACACACCAGCAACTGGTCTGCTTTCCTCCACCGGGAAGACCTCAGAGTGAAAATACTCAGTGCTCCGACCGGGCAGAGCAGATGAAGTATCCCGTCCTCCGCCGTCACATGAGGTGGGGAATGAAACGCCTGCAGCACCGTGGACCCTGCCAGTCTGGCCGGAACCTTAGGGACATAACCTGGACAAGGGTGCAGGATGGCCCTGACCCTCCCAGGGGCAATAGTTTCATTCATAGTTCAGCCCTGCCACGCCCAGAGGCGTTCCCGTAGTGTCGTCACCGACACAGTTCGAGTTCCCTCGAAGGGGAACTTAAATATGTAAATGCATGTGTATTTATGTAAACTATATTCTTTTGTTTTTAGATTTTGCATATTTAAAAATAGAACAGTTATTCAGGTGTTACTATTAGTTTGACAGCACTGCATGAACAGGGCCTCAGGTCCCACATGTTAAATCATCATTTATTAATCAGGAAACATCTGTAAAACCTCCACCACAGGTTGGATCTCCTTCACCACTGTGCTGCTGTATGTTTTCTCTATTCCTTTCATCATCGTCTTCCTCTCAGGGCTGACACTGATGATAATCTGTATTCAGAGGAACACCAAACCTAAAGGTGAGGCAACAGGAAACTCTTACACAGCAACAACAACAAGTGAAACTTCCCATTTCTCATTAAAAAAAGCATTTCAGTCAGGACGCTCACGTCAAAGTTTTAAAGACTTGCAACAATACATACTGTAGTTTGACAGTGTGGCTTTGCTCATGTAATTCTCTGGAACAAATCTGAGCAACAGACTGTCCCTGAGCTCACACAACCACAAAATGTAATGAACTAAATGCTAATACATGAGGAATGTGCACAATGAGATTTGTTTTTTTGGTTTGTTTCATCATTTATAATAGAGAAAATACTTTGTCTGTTTCACAGGTTTGCAGACCAGAGGAAATTCAGATGGCACAAACATGGAGGTGACTTTCTTTAACTCTTTGATTACTCTCACTGTTGGATAAGATGTACCAATGTAGGTGACAACCATTAAAGATGCCAATCCTCAGGATTGGAATCAGGGTGATATTTTAACATGCTGATCCTTTCTTTACTGAACTCTGCTGTGTTTACTCACGTTGTTGAGTTGCAGCGCAGCTCTCCTTCACGCCTACAGTGCAGCATTGTTCATTTTCATGCATGAGTGAAGGATCTTGGACTCTTCCGTTCACTCGTCACACGTCAGCTGCATGGGCTCCGTCAGTAGAGGAAACAGAATTGATTAGTTCACGACTCTCAACTGTGGGTCTCTAGGTTTGAGTCATTCATTCGTCACGTGACAGCTCCTACTGTGGAGCAGGAATGAACTACGCATTCACCGCTGATATTCTCCTCAGTCTTTTGTTCAATCTGCAGGCTGAGTTACTGCCACCGCCGGAGAATGAGAGGCTACGATGGCCCATAGGTCTCAGGCCTAATACAAACTAACTAAACTAATTCTGTTGTGGCTTTTGTATTAGGCCTGAAACCTACGGGCCACCGTAAGAGGCAGGTCGGCTGTTAGGTAACAGTCACTGGACTGACATTATATAGCTATTTTGATAATGTAACATTTAATAAAGCATAACGTTATTACAGAGCAGTGATGTTGTGCTAAGTTATAGTTTTAACACAGCCGTACTGTAACTTTAGTCCTGCTAGTGTTTAACATTAGAGCTAACAGCTTATGAGAGTTGTTCTGGGTCCACTTCAGAGCCCTGACAGGGTTCTACCTGGAGCTGAATTACCTCAGAGGTCGTCTCCTCTCCAAAACAAACAGACCCGGTCATTAAAACATTAAAACACAGCCACGTAGCAACGTTAGCGTTAACCCTGTAAACAGCTAACAGCTGATCCAGGTCTGCCAGAGAACGCAACGTAACTTTTCCTTTTTATTTACCAACAGAGCCGTGCTGTTGTTTCACAGCTCCTGACTGGTGAACAACCTGCAGTGTTTGAGAGATGTACTCATGTTCTCTGTTTTAGATCTTCAGATTCACAGTTTTAGTTTGGACGGGAGGTGGAAATGTAGCAAAAGGTCTGCGTTTTAAAACAAAAATGTTGTAGTGTGGAAGGGGCCTAAGACGTCTGTAAGCTCCTCACACTACAGGATCATTTGTTCTGACCAGCCTCAGCTTGGGAACAAAATGTATTCCAGGTGTAGGAGCCAAATGGGTTGTTTTCCTCCAAGCCACAGGGGGATGATGATATTGCATTGTGTTATTAGGGCCGATTCTGGCCTCATGTAATTTAAGTTCCTGTACTGATGCAAACAGGTGTTTGAAGAGGAGCAAACAGGTTTTTTTTACTGTGCTCGGATTATGTTGTTTGTTTTACTTTATATGATTTAGTGTTATGGATTGGAAGTGGACGCTGTAAGGACGCAGGAAATAAATGCCTTAAACTGCAAGCTATTGGAAAACACTGGATCGCTTTTCTGAGTACACGTTAGAAACAATAATCCAAATTAGCAACCAGTCGCGGCTAAAGTTTAGGACTTAGTCACTACACCAGGTTTTTGCCTTACAGACTGGAGGAGAGGTCATTTTCAAATAATCAGTTTACTTATTTTTATCAAAATGACATCATACACTTAGATGTATGGTCTGTACTACGAAGCGGGTAACTGGCTTATTCACGTAACTTCAGGAGTAACTTGGTGTCGGGTGTAACTTCCTGATTAACCCGTACTACGAAAGGTGGATAGGTGTTACTCGAGGTCTGTTGCCATGGCAATTTACGCCGCATCTCTAAACTGCTCCGAGCAGGTTTTGCTCGTGGTTAACTCGAGGTTACCCTACACATGGACTACAAACCACATCTGTACTCAGTGTTACTGATGAAAAGGGTATTAATAAACACCACTTCATAAAATATGTTTAGATTTCATCCTGATTTGCTCCACTGCGGTTGGAATGAAGTTCTGAACACAACAGCATTACGTTCAGACAGCGAGCCCTGCAGCCGGTGGGGATTTTAGAGAGTTTCTTATATGTAGCCCATCTGTAGTCTATAATTGAAGTGTTTTCACATATTTAGATGACTATTTTACGTGTCCAAAAATAAGGAGCCAGGGTGGGGGTTAGGCTAATAACTGAGAGAAGAAAAAATTACCTAGATGAAAATAAAAATAAATGATAAAAAATAAATGATAATAAATAATAAAAAATTGAAAATCACTCTGTTTTCTTCTGAATACGTCCGATCCAAGGCAAAGTCTCTAAGGTGCATGATAGTGATTGTGGGCTAAACTCACGAGTTTTTCCTCACTGTTAAATCCGATTAAAGTTTAATATAACTTTCCACTGCATGCATAATACATGTGTGATGTTGCAGCCTTGCAAAGTTTCTCTCATAAATGTGTGACTATAATTTCAGAGAATATTCAAGTTTTTTACTTGTAGATTAATCTTGGAAATTTAATTTTCTCTCGGATTATTAGGACTACCTAGCTGGCTCCTTTTTTTTATTACAATGGACCTTATGTGCAGTTGTACCTTTACATCTTAATCATATTACACATAAAAGAGCCTGTAAAATACACACTAGAGATTTGAACTACAATAAGAACAATGGGAAGATAATTAGGCTACACATTTACTCAATGCGAAGCCAACAAGCCTCTCTGGCTTTGTTGTCCACCACAAAATTAGATTTAGTTACATTCATAATTTCCTGACACTACCAACATGCATTCCTCTGGAGAAATACAGAGCATGCGCCGTTGCGAAAAATCTCTGCCTGCACGGCCGAACACGCCCGTTTTATGCGAACACACACCACCTCCAACTAAGTTATTATTAATAATAATAATATTATTATTATTAAGTAATTCCCTCAGGTAAAGTCTGGAGAGATGTGGACTAAAGTGTAGATAAAGGGCGCAAAAGGTCTGTGAGGGACACTGGCGGTTCTAGATTATTGAGGGGGCCAGGCTGGGGCCCGTTGTCTGAGGGGCACATTCAAAAGAGACAAATAATAATAATAATAATAAATAATAATACCTTTCATAGCACTCAAGGACACCTTACAGATTAAAACAGTTAAAGGCAATGTTCAATCTTTCAAAATGTCTTATTTAGTGTATAATGAAATTTTTTAGTATGTTTCAGTAATATGATATTTTCAGTAACTTAGTTATATCCATACATCCATTGTCAACTGCTTCTCCTTGATTTTACAGTATCAATGGTGTAGATATTTGTAGGAGCAGCTTACTCGGAAAAGGTGATTACTGCTGAAACAGTCTTACTTGTACTTTACTTGAGTATTTAAAATTTATAATTATAATGCCTTTATTTGACATTTATAATTACTTGTTGCTTTAAAAGACAAAAACAAACACATAATATGCTGATATTATATGATGCAGTACAATACTACTAATCAATTATCAAGTCTTCTTCAATACAGAATGATGTTGTGAGTAAAATATGATGATAAAGAAAAAAATAGGTGATTCTGATTAGCTGGAAGGTGTGGATCAACTTTTAGTAATCAGACAACATAAACAGACGCCTGTGATGATGATTGCAGTTCTATATAAATGCACCAGTACTGAACTGGACGTAAAGAAAACATTGAGGATTGTGTTACAACATAAATGTGCAGGTAACCTCAGACCCTGCAGTACAAATATAGATGATGGAGAGGGGAGGAGAGTAGAGCTGTGTGTGTGTGTGTGTGTGTGTGTGTGTGTGTGTGTTTTGTGTTTGGAGGAGGGACTCCATCATTTAAAGAAGTTAGAAGTTCCTGGTTTGTCAGTGAAGAAGTCAGAGAGGCAGCAGTAAACCATCAGAGCCTCAACATGAAAGTCCGTCACACTTTGATCTGCTTCTTCTTCCTCTGTGAGTATTCACTTTGGATTTCTGTCTCTCTCTCTTATTATGTATTTTTTCTTTATTTATTCTCATGAGTTAAATATGATGATCAGAGTCAGGTATGAGGCACTTTAATGGATGTTCAAGTCTGTCTGAAAACAGTCCTCACATAGAATGTGGATTTCACCTCCATCTTTTTGAGCTCTTTTTGAGGATAGTACATATCCTTTAAAATATAGTCCAGTAATAGTTCTTTAGTTAACTTTCTTAAAATGAACTGCACATGAGGAAGGAAAATGAAGGGCATAATCTTACACGGTTAGAAGAGAATCGAATCCCAACATCTGAGAAGCTGGAACCAGCAACTGTTTGACATTTTGACCTGTGAAATCGCAAAAAAGAATAGTTGCCATTAAGTGATTAATTGTTGCAGCTCTACTTGTTTTCAAAGGTAACAAAGTGCAATTTTGTTGCTTGTTGCTGTATTTTATGGTGACAGAGTTTGTGTGTTCTGTTGCTTCAGCCTGACTGTTAGTGGACTTTGTTGTAGCTTCACAAGATTTGATATAACTTCTGTATGTAGTAGATTTTACAGAAAGATATCACACAAACAGGAACAAAAGAAATGCATGGATTTAAGAACTGGATAAATAAACATCACATTTTACATCACATTAAAAAAAAAATTCATAACCTACTGATCACTGTTTACACATCTAACAAATCCTGCTAAAGCTCTGATGTAAATACAGTCAGTCAGTTCTGTGTTCTGATAAACGGGAAGAAAGAGTTACAGAATGTTGAAAGTCTCACTGAACTCTTGTGGTTTGTGGCTTAAAAACTGACCTGAAAGTTTTAATCTACAATATTTATGTTCACATTTTGTCTGGTTCTCCTTTTTAATACTGATTTCATTATTTCATATTGTTTTGTTGGGGCTCTGTTACTGTCTGTTCTGCTGTATACTCTGTTTTCCACTTTTATAGAATAGAAATTAATATTTAATTCTAAATGGATGTTTTTACTGACATAAAAACATAGTAGTTTTACATGCGTTTCATCATTGTTCACACAATTTTATGGCTCAGAGAAAAAGGAAGGAAGAAAGGAGGAGAGTTAAAAGGACAAAAAATATCAAAAACCATAACAGCAGCAAAACTAGAAAATAAACTCTAAATTAAATCATCTGGAGGGAATCAGTTACTTTTTATAATTTACATTTGATGTTTTGAAACCTTTATTTATCCAGAGGATAATAAAAGAAGATGGATAAAAGAAGGACAGAGATGTTAAAAGCGAAATAACAGTGCCAGTCTGTGATCCTCAGCCACAGACTGGTTGAACTGGGCAGCTCCCAGTGTGACGTGAAGCAGCAAATGTTGTGATCAGACTGCAGCATCTTACAGGAAGTTCAGACAGTAACTATTGTTGTTCATCTTTTCAACAGCTCTGCAGGATGGAAACACTGGTCTCACCAATGCCCAGATCCCATCTGTCCATACAGGAACTGAAGGAGGAGATATCAGAGTTAGATGCCCCTTTTCTTCACCTGGAGTCAGGAAGTTCTTCTGCAAGAGAGAATGTAAACCAGAGGACATCCTCACTGAAACAACTGGTGTCAGAAATCAGAGAGGCAGATACCGCATCTCAAATGAAAGAGGAGGATTTTACTTTGTGCGCATCACACAGCTGATCAAGTCTGACTCAGGACGGTACAGGTGTGGTCTGGGGAGACCTTCATCACCAGATTCCTACCTGGAGTTTAAGATCATTGTCACAGATGGTGAATTTCCACTTAAAGTAAAAGTAAAATGAATGAGAATGTTTGTTCATGTCTCTGGAGGTCTGAAGAAAGTTTTCATTGACAGCTGCTGATGTTTTAAATTCCCAGTGAACTCTGATAAATGTTCATTTCTGCATGTTTTTGTTGCTCACAGCTCACGTAGTTCCCACTTCAAAACCAAAACTGACTCTACCGGTCTTTTCAACATCAGACCCATCAGCCTCCACACCAACACAGATTTCTCAGACTGACCAGCAGCAGACTGGGACAGCATCACCTCGAGGTACATCTACACACTGTTTGATAGATGAAAGTCTAAGACTGAAAGCAATGACATGTAATTGTCCTTCCAGCACCTAGCAAAGCATCTCAGCCAGTGACTATGGAGAAGGTCCCAGTCAAAGCTGTGAAACCACAATTTGTATGTGTTAATGTGTGTATGTAAAATAGATCGGTATGTTTTTTTGCAAGTACATGAGTTTAATAAAGTACTTGTTTAGTACTTGAATAAACAGAGACTCCTCTATGAGAAAACACTCGTATGAAAGCTAGTCAAATGGAAGGGATGTGTGCAATGATGGACCAGATTGAGCAATGGCTGTAACAACACCATTTGATTTAAAAGAACTGTATCCAGCTGAAGGCATTGTGCTAGGCTGAAGAATGATTCACACACGGTTCAGTCAGTAGCTAAATTGTTGTCTGGAACTATGTATGAGGTGTCCTATCATATGATTTTCCTGGACACCTGCCAGCCAATCAGAAGTTAGTGATTTCCATAAAAAATGAACAGTGTTGGGAAAGTTACTTCCAAAATGTAATACATTATACATTACTAATTACTGTCATTTGGGAGTAATTAGTTATATTACAATATTACTGTCTCTGAACTGTAATGCTTTACACTACTTTTGAGTTACTTTCACTGCTATTTAATGGCCGCATTATTCTGGTGGGTTCTAGTTATGTGCAGAGTTATATCTGCGGATCGGGTGGGTCGGGTGGAAAAATTATCCTTCTGATTAATAGCGAGGGGGGGATGGGTGAAATAGGATGAATCGTCTTAAAAAACAAAACACCACTTAATTTTGGGTTAAAATGCGTTGCAACACGCATTACTGAGCAGGGCCGTGCAGAGACCTTTGGAAGGGCAGGTGCTCAAAGTATAAAAGGGGCACATGGAACAAGGATTTAAATAGGGCTGTTCTCAAAATATCGGTACGGAAATATATTGTTATGTATTCCTTGCTGATGTGCGTATACTGATGCTTCTGTATCGATATGTCAGCAAATGCTGTGACAGTTTGTAAAAAGAAACGCAGGGAATACCCAGCTCTAGCTTTAAAACACTGTTGGCTGACAACTTACAGGGAACAGTTGCTGGTGAAGGGGTTGCTGATAATACAGGTGGTGATCTGTGACTAGATGTAAATGCTCCGTATAGCGCCTTTCTAGTCTTTTCGACCACTCAAAGCGCTTTTACACTACATCTGCTATTCACACACTGAGCCTAAGTGCTCAAACAGAAACTAACATTCACATTCATTCACTGGTGGAACAGCCAGGGGTAATTCAGGGTTCAGCATGCAGGCTGGAGGAGCCAGGGATTGAACCGCCAACCTTCCGATTAACAGGCAACTGGCTCTAGCTCCTGAGCCACAGCCATAACAAACAAGAATAGCTGATGAAACAAATATGTGACCTGCTGTAGTGCTGCAGCCGCTGCCAAGGCTGACTGCTATGAGAAAATAAGAGGAGATGCTCACAGAGACTGCTGCACAGAGAGAGCTGCAGGTAGAGGAAATAAGATAGCAGATTCAAAAGAATGTGGGAAATATTCTGAGAACTTGGAGAAAGGACAAGGTTGGCCAAGGCAGGGGTAAGAGTGAGACAAATATAGACAGGTGTGTGTGTGTGTGTGTCTGTCTGTGTGTGTCTATAGGCAATATTTTGATAATGATTTTATATATTGTGTTGTGAATCTGAGATATATTTGGATTTTGATTGACTATATGTCTGTAATCATAAATCTATATAAATAAACTAAGATGTGTGTGTGTGTGTGTGAGTGTGTGTATGTTCATTCTGTTGGCCCATAATAACCATGACAGAGTAGCTTTTACCTTTCACAATAACATTTCATACCTTTTTCTATAATCTAACAGGGCCCTTTCTTCGTCACGCTTTACTTTGATGTCAGGAATTATATTTACTTTACATTGACACAGATATTATTTTGTAAAACTTTGAATAATAGCCATAATAATCACTGAATTGACCCTGCCTTTATTTGGGACAGGCGTCCATATGGGACAGGCCTTTAATTCTTTTTGCACAAAACTGAAACTACTATGAAACAGTTTATTCATAAAAATTATCGAATAATATCAAATACATGTCATTCATTTGATGTAGCTCCGACAGACTGCTTATGCGCTTTTATTTTGAAGTAGGCTAACATCAGACAACAACACGGTGCAGGATGAGAGAAGTTAGCAGACAGATCGGTGGACCCTTACAGACTAAAGGAATATAAATAATCAAGGAACGGACACATTCAGGCTTAACGAGGGCCTCAAAGTTAACGTGAGTCAGCACTTTCTTCCCCTTTTCCTCTCTTGTAGCCATGCAGGTTACACCGGTAAATCTAGAAGAATTAGACTTTGGGTCTTGTTGTTTCCGTTAAATGCACTTAACAGTGGTATTGTGAGGGATCTAACCGGTCTAACCATGTTGAGCAAGTCTATATCGACATATTGATCATACTGTTTAAACATTAATATTTGTTTTAACGATCTAAGCAGCTTAGAAGCAGCTAAAGGTTTAAGAGGTTTTATACATACAAAGAACTTCTATAATAAATAAACCAGGCGTTAAATTGAGGCAGGCTTTATTTGTCAAAATGTGTTCCCACACCAGGCCAGTAAAGGAGGTATTTGGGACTCGGCTATTAGTTGAAGTTTTACGGTACATGTATTTCCAGTTATTTCGTTTATATAGCAGGTTTGCTGTTGTAAACACAGTTAAAATGTAGACTAAATCTATTCCAATACTGTTCTGAATGAAATGGGCTGATAAGTAGGCAGAAGTAGGAGGAATAAGTATCAGTATAAACCTGTTTTACCAATGTTGTTATAATTATTTTAAGGCACACTATGCTTTGTACATTACTGTAATAATCCTAGTTTAAGTGAAAGTTTTTAGTCAAATTACATAAAAAAGATCAGACCTCTCGACGCCCGTGAAACTTTTCTCCCTCAAACAGTGAAGTGAACAGAGGGCCTTTGTTTATCTGTGTGTAGAAGTAACATTAGCTGTCGGCACAGTGTTAGCCAGCAGCTAACGCTACTTCTACAGGTGACAACAATATACACAACAACTGTGCTGCTCTCTTTGCGTCATTCTTCTAAAATACATCCAACAACCCACAACTAGCACATTGTGGCAAACCCCTCATACCGGCGGAATCGAAGGTGTCCTGTAGGCAGAGCCGCTGAAACACTAACGGTGTCTGAACGGGAGGGCTCGTCGTGGATGAGGTCATCAGGTGAAAGGTCATCACGTGGTCATTATATTTACTGTGAAATTATTATTCATTCATTTTACTAATAGTTTTATTGGGCGGGCCTTCACAAAAGGGCCTTTACAAATTTTAAACTGTATTATTTCATTAAATTTTTCATTGACAAACGGGCACTTTGGGTGAACAAAGGGCAGGTGCTCAAGCACCCAGCGCAGCCCTCTCTGCACGTGCATGTTACTGAGATTGTAACAGGTATAATATTACTGAATTGAAAATGAAATACTTAATAGTTTTTTTGTTTAATTTTATGTCTCATATTGTTGATTTTTGTGTACCTTGATTAAGTGCAATGAGCTCCGACATGAGCTATTTCCACTTGAATTATACCCACTGAGAAAGAACACAATGTGTTCCAGAAAGTTCTTCTCTTCAAAGAGTTAACTTTTCTTCAACAAGATGTTCTTCTACAGTACTTAAATATGTAAATGCATGTGTATGTATGTAAACTATATTCTTTTGTTTTTAGGATTTGATATCTTGTTTAAAATAGACAGCTATTCAGGTGTTACAATAAGTTTGACAGCACTGCATGAACAGGGCCTCAGGTCCCACATGTTCAGGAAGCATCTTGAAAACAAACTTTCTTTCTTCAACCTCCACCACAGCTTTGACCTCCTCCACCGCTGTGTTGCTGTATGTAGTTCCTATAATAGTCATCCTCTCAGAGCTGACACTGATGATAATCTGTATTCAGAGGAACACCAAACCTAAAGGTGAGGCAACAGGAAACTCTTACACAGCAACGACAACAAGTGCAACTTCCCATTTCTGATCAAAAATGACATTTCAGTCAGGACGCTCATGTCAAAGTTTAAAAGACTTGCATCAATGCATACTGTAGTTTGACAATGTGGCTCTGCTCATGTAATTCTCTGGAACAAATCTGAGCAACAGACTGTCCCTGAGCTCACACACCCACAAAATGTAATGAGCGTGAAAGACATGTTAAAGAAACAAACAAATTCAACTAAATGCCAATACATGAGGAGGGTGGGGAGGTGGAACGACTGATATTTGAGGGGCGGGCAAATTGGTATTTGGAAATACACAGCATTACTTTCCTGCTGTTTGCAGGTTTTGTAGACCTACAGAGTGCTAATGATAGTTAGATCAGTATAGAGACAACAGTATTTGTAGCCGTGCTAGGAGTGTGGCTCTAGAGATGGCACTGTCAGGTGGTCAGTCCACCACTGTGGTCAACAGTTACGGGATGGAATGCCATTGTTGTACAAGAAGATTTTATTTTTTTATTTTATTTATTTTTATTTTATTTTAGTTTGTTTCGCCATTTATAATAGAGAAAAATACTTTTGTCTGTTTCACAGGTTTGCAGACCAGAGGAAATTCAGATGGCACAAACATGGAGGTGACTTTCTTTAACTCTTTGATTACTCTCTGTTGGATAAGATGTACCAGTGCAGGAGACAGTAGTTAATTCTCAGGATTGGAATCAGGAGAAATTTTAATAGATAGTATCGGCTTAAATAACACCGATCACATGCTGATCCTTTCTTTACTGAACTCTGCTGTGTTTAGTCACCTTGTTGTGTTGCAGCACAGCTCTCCTTCACGCCTACAGTGCAGCATTTCACTGCACGTAGGAGTGAAAATTAGAGAGTTACTATAAACATCTTTTGGGCACACAGTGAGTGGATCCTGAGTCCTGACATCAAGATTCACTCTGACCCTAACAAATCTGTTATTGAATCTTTAATCTTACATGTTACTGCCAGGTTCACCTCTTAAAATGGTAAACATTGGCTGATTAACGTTACTTCTGTAAGTGCCAAAAATGAAACTTTTCTCCATCAGGTCTGTGTCTGTACAGCCAAAGATCATTTGTGCGTAAAGAGCTTCCACTCTGTTACACTGCTGTACAACCACGAATGGACTGTGTTTATATTCCAACTATTTTATTCTATTCCAACTAACAGTAGGACGTCAATGTTTTGTAAGTTACCTAAAACCATCAAACTTATTAACAGCCCCACCAGACTTTAAACCTTGCTGTAGAAAGTTTGTGGACTCAAGTAGTGACGGGTTTCACAGTGGGAAAAAAAATCAAAATGTCAACAGAAACCAAATCACTTCTGCAGTATAATCCTCTTTTTCACAAATATAGCTTAGCAGAGAGCTTCTGTCTCCACCCTCATGCACAAACTGGTTGTAATGTGTTGGTTTTCGTTTCCTGCCTCCTGCTCTCAGGAGTCACCTCCAAAAATGTATATAAAGGGATGTGTCTGTATTTCACTGTAGATCATTCTTTGTCAAAATGTTTGTGTTTTTTGTTTTCAGATCGCCCTCTATGAGAACTGTCCTCCAGCTTCTACATCTGAATCCACCTACGAGAGCCTCGATCCAGCCAGCAGGGATCAGAACCAGACCTACGCTACACTCACACACACACAACACAAATGATGCTGTTTGTGTCTCACTGAGCACTGCAACTCTGCCATAAACTCAGGTATTCCGGTAGATTAACGCTTTCTCACCAAGAAGCAGTCCACATGATCTTTAGCAGGTTTTAATAGGAAAAAAGCACTTAGACCTACACGTTAGTGGTTCCATTACAGTTTGGATTCAGACCAGAACTTAAAAAATTAGACCTTCCCCGACTGTCTTGGTTTCACTATAACAGCCTGTGGACAGATGTAAAGGGCTCAGGATTGCTTTTCTGGCTAAATCCAAAGGATGAGATGTTTATACGCTCCCGGTGCCTTCTTTTCTGCTCCCCTACAGAAACAAATGTGTGAAACATTAGTTTAGAAACAGAATTTGCAAACGTCAGCAACACAAAGTTCAAAGTCAAAACTAACATTCCTGCAAAGAAGAAAAACATTATGGGTTTTGGTGGCTGACATTAGAGAATGTTAGCTTGCTTGCTAACGTGGACAAATTGCTGTCCAAAGAAGCCAAAAGGTCAGCTGATTGATCCAGACTCCCAGGGCTGATCTGGCTGGTGGATTTACTGGCTTGCTGTTTGCAGGTTACTTTGGTGGCGTGAGTGGGCCATGCCAGCGTTTTATGACTATATTTATTATATGTATTATTTATTATATTACTTAGATAATTATTTACCATGTAATATCAATAAAATTATAATTTTTGAAATATCATGCTGGGCAGCTAGCTTTTTTTCCATGACAATGTGTTTTAGTTTATATCTCTCCTGTCATTTTCTTTTCTTTAATTAATGGTAATGTTTGTATCTGCTCCTGTGTATAATTTGTGTGTATTAATAGACAATGAAAGAATAAAAGCTGATGTAGATTCTCATCACAATAAAGAATGAACAATGTAAAAATCAGTTTTTCTGCCCTGTCATGACTCAAGCTGTCCACAGATAACTGAAAAACCAGAGACCACCAAAACAATTTTCAGGGTATATATCCTCCACTTTGCCCAGATCTCTCTCAGTACAAATAATAATAATAATAATAATAATAATAATAATAATCTTTATTTGTAGAGCACTTTTCAAAAACAAGTTACAAAGTGCTTTAACAAGTGTAAAGACAATAATACAAAAACAATACAAGATAAAAGCATGAAAACATTGAAAAGACTAAAATACACGTTTAAGTTAAATATAAAATTAGTCAAATAGAATAAAATAAAAGGGATAAAATAAAGTCAAATAAGATCGGGAAAGGCTCTCCTATAAAAGTATGTTTTAAGAAGGGACTTAAAAGAGTTCACTGACTCAGCCGACCTGATTTCCTCGGGCAGGCTGTTCCAGAGCCTCGGGGCCCTGACAGCAAACGCTCTGTCCCCTTTAGTTTTCAGTCGAGACTCTGGAACAGACAACAGACCTCTGCCCGAGGATCTCAAGGTACGTGCTGGTGCGTATGAGACTAAAAGGTCAGAAATATAACAAGGCGAGAGGCCATGAAGAGCTTTAAAAGTGATCAATAGAATTTTAAAGTCAATTCTAAAACATACTGGGAGCCAGTGTAATGAAGCTAAAATAGGAGTAATGTGGACACATTTCTTTGTTCTGGTTAAAAGCTGGCAGCTGAGTTCTGGACAGTCTGGAGTCGATCAATAGATTTTTGGGTTAAACAGGTGAAAAGGCTGTTGCAATAATAAAAAATAATAATATAATAATAATAATAATAAATATATAGGATATCAAGAGACTGTCTGATAAATATGTATATTAATGTCTCCACATTGACCAAATGACAACAGTGAACATCTGAAGAGAAACTGCATTTAAAGAGGAACAGTGGTCACAGCAGACAACAACACTGACTGTCTTTCCCTCCTCTTCAACCACAACCCCAGTTACTGTTTTTTACAACTGCTTATACACACTTTCAAAACCATATTTCCTTTTTTCAAAACTCTACACACAAACTTTTTATTTATTTATTTATTTATTTATAAGGACAACACACATTAATCAGCATTTCAGTAAATGAGCCAGTGTTAGCCTGCTGACTAATTTTCAACTGCAGTCCTTCGGTAAGATGTTTTGAAACCTTAATGATAAAATGTACAGAACAAGTACAAGCGCCTCATATGTCAAAATGAAACACTGCATTCAAAATACCATAAACACGTCCCAAAATCAAGCATTTGCATCAAATAGCAAACACTTTTTCATAATAGTAAATTTTAGGATATATCAGTGCAAAGTTAAGCTTCATCCCACAAGACTTTCTCTTGCAGACAGCAACATGTATTTTACAATACTGTAATGCTGAAATAGTCATTAGATAGTTGCGTACCTGTTCTCATTTCTGAAGGTTCAAATTATGGACGCCACTGTAAAGCATTCATTCTGGTCTGGACTCTCAGTTCACTTTCTCTCCTGGTTGATCACATGATCAATAAGTGTGGCGTTGATCTCATTAGAGATGGCTCTCATTCTCTTTTATTGCCCTTGTCCTCTTCTAACTTGTCCTTTTCTTCCTGTTCTTCCTTCCCCTCTTTCTCTTCTTCCAACTCTTCCTCCTTAAACTTGTCCTTGTTGTCCTCGAACCTGCCTTTTCCTCCTACTCCCCTTGCTCTTGTCCATTGTTGGCATCCATTGTTCAAAACAGGTAATCTGACCTTTGACCTATTCATAGGTCTACTGTATACTAAAGCAGTGATTGGTTAGAGATCAGTTAAGTAGTTAAGTGTAATTTATACTTCTGCGTCAAATCGACGGCGTAGCCTCTGCGTAGCCCCCTACCCTACGCCGTCACCTACAACGTAGCCTGACGTGCACCTCCTCAAAAATGTAACTACACGTCAAGGCGACGCGGACCGTAAGCTCTGTGATTGGTCAGCTGGGTAACCTCGCAATGAGCCGACAGGAAGTGCCCCGTGCTTTGAAGTAAATTTTACTAGCGGCCAAAGCAGCGGCTGTAACACAGTAGACTGATATATTTGACCGTCACAACCCGAGCGAAATGACTCACTATCTGAATGTGATCCATTCAGTCGATAACATTTGAAACGGCTACACCAGCCGCACATTTACGATTTCAACCCCATTCACTTTAGCGGAGGGCTAAACCGGAAGTTAGCCTGCTCAGCTGGCAAAAGTCAACACAGTGGACGCTGCAGCGCCACCGCCGACTGGCGTTTGGGGTGTAATTGCAGAATAATGCAGACACAGATGCAAAAGAATAAATGCATGGCTATGTGTGTAGCATACGGCGTAGCTACGCACGTAGACCTACGCAGGAGTATAAATCAAGCTGCACATGTGAGGATGGGTGTGTGACCTGCTAAAGAAGCGTTTGATTGGTTGTGTTTGAAAAAGGAAGGCAAGTCACTTCCTGTTAGATTTTTATGTCTTAGGTAGAGAACTGTGTGTAGTGTTTTGAAAAAAGTATTTTATAAAAGTGTGTGAAAGGAGGAGAAATAACGGTTTTAGAGATTTCATGTGTATTTTTTTCTCTTTTAATGAGAAGTTTCAAAAACTGTGTGACATGTAAAGATTTTGTGTGTAAGCAGTTGTGAAAAACTGTGATAAAAAAATATTTATTACCATTCCCTGCCTGCCCACCAAGTTGTGTTCATACAAATTCAGATACAGCGACTGGTCAGTCAACTCTCCGCGGCGTGTCCATCATGCATCGCATGGCAGGAGCTCCTGCCTGTCACAGAAAATGAATAGGATCCGTCAACAGATCCAGTGTGGGCTGTAGTGAGTGGCATTCCTGACCCCGCCGCCACATTGAAAATGGACAATCCACAGCTAAGCACGGTCCAACTGTGTGTGTCTCCAGTTTATGACCTGAACCCCCTCAGACATTTTAAAGTGTGAACAAATATACAACACATTGTACATTCATGTACTAACAGTCTTATCAGGGTGTTTTGATGGCTGTTTCATTGGTTACTGCTGAAACAGTCTTACTTGTACTTTACTTGAGTATTTAAATTTTATAATTTTACTCCATTTCAGAAGGAAATATTGTACTTTTTACTCCACTGCATTTATTTAACATGTGTAGTTACTAGTTGCTTTAAAAAAACAAAAACAAACATATGAGATGTGGATATGATATAATGCAGTACAATACTAATCAATCATCATATCATGTTTAATACCAAATATCTTTCTTTTAATTATTATTCAATATATTGCTTATAGCATTGTTAAGCTCTGTGTTTTGCAGATGGAAGTATGTTGCACTTCCCTTTTCTCACTCACTGTTGTTACTAAAGGGAGAAAGGCTCCAGTTTTCTTCTTTGCGACCTGATAGCAAGAGTGTTGGGATCTCATCTTATTTGACATAAGTTACGGTCCTGTTTAGAGTGAAATAGATGATAAAGAAAAAAAAAAGGTGACATCACAGCAGCTACATCCACTTCTTTTATACAGTCTGTGGTTGTAAAATGACAAATAAATTAACCTTGATACCTTGAAATATCATGGTCACTGATTCTGATTGGCTGGAAGGTGTGGATCAACTTTTAGTAATCGGACAACATAAACAGACGCCTGTGATGATGATTGCAGTTCTATATAAATGCACCAGTACTGAACTGGACGTAAAGAAAACATTGAGGATTGTGTTACAACATACATGAATGTGCAGGAAACCTCAAACCCTGCAGTACAAATATAGATGATGATGGGGTGTGTGTGTGTGTGTGTGTGTGTGTGTGTGTGTGTGTGTGTGTGTGTGTGTGTGTGTGTGTGTGTGTGTGTGTTGTGTTTGGAGGAGGGACTCCATCATTTAAAGAAGTTAGAAGTTCCTGGTTTGTCAGTGAAGAAGTCAGAGAGGCAGCAGTAAACCATCAGAGCCTCAACATGAAAGTCCGTCACACTTTGATCTGCTTCTTCTTCCTCTGTGAGTATTCACTTTGGATTTCTGTCTCTCTCTCTTGTTATGTAGTTTTTCTTTATTTATTCTCATGAGTTAAATATGATGATCAGAGTCAGGTATGAGGCACTTTAATGGAAACGTTCACATTTTTTGAAGTCTGTACGAAAACAGTCCTCGCATAGAATGTGGATTTCAGCTCCATCTCTTTGAGAAGCTCTTTCACCGTACATATGAGCTTGTGAGGATAGTACATATCCTTTAAAATATAGTCCAGTACAAGTAAACTGCACATATATAAGGAAAATGAAGGGCATAATCTTACACGGTTAGAAGAGAGTTGAATCCCAACATCTGAGAAGCTGGAACCAGCAACTGCTGTCATTTTGACCTGTGAAATCGCAAAAAAGAATAGTTGCCATTAAGTGATTAATTGTTGCAGCTCTACTTGTTTTCAAAGGTAACAAAGTACAATTTTGTTGCTTGTTGCTGTATTTTATGGTGACAGAGTTTGTGTGTTCTGTTGCTTCAGCCTGACTGTTAGTGGACTTTGTTGTAGCTTCACAAGATTTGAAATAACTTCTGTATGAAGTAGATTTTACAGAAAGATATCACACAAACAGGAACAAAAGAAATCTGCATGGATTTATGAATTAGATAAATAAAAATGTATTTACATCACATTAAATAATTTTTCATAACCTACTGATCACTGTTTACACATCTAACAAATCCTGCTAAAGCTCTGATGTAAATACAGTCAGTCAGTTCTGTATTCTGATTAAACGGGAAGAAAGAGTTACAGAATGTTGAAAGTCTCACTGAACTCTTGTGGATTGTGGCTTAAAAACTGACCTGAAAGTTTTAGTCTACAATATTTATGTTCATATTTTGTCTGGTTCTCCTTTTTAATGCTGATTTCAGTATTTCATAGTGTTTTGTTGGAGCTCTGTTACTGTTTGTTTTGCTGTATACTCTGATACAGTTTTCCACTTTGGTAGAAATTAATATTAAATTCTAAATGAATGTTATTACTGAGGTGAAAACCTGGTTCATTATTGTTCAAACAGTTGTCCTTTTTTATGGCTCACTGTGGAAGAAAGAAAGAAGAAGAAGAGAGAAAAAAGAATCAGTTACTTTTATAATTTACATTTCATTTATTGAAACCTTTATTTATACAGGGAAGAATAACAGATGATGGCTAAAAGAAGTACAGGAAAAACAAAACAGTAACATTCACCTGCAGTGCCAGTCTGTGATCCTCAGTCACAGACTGGTTGAACTGGGCAGCTCCCAGTGTGACGTGAAGCAGCAAATGTTGTGATCAGACTGCAGCATCTTACAGGAAGTTCAGACAGTAACTATTGTTGTTCATCTTTTCAACAGCTCTGCAGGATGGAAACACTGGTCTCACCAATGACCAAATCCCATCTGTCTATACAGGAACTGAAGGAGGAGATATCACGGTTACATGCTCCTTTTCTTCATATGGAAGCTCGATTTTCTTTTGCAAGAGAGAATGTAAACGAGAGGACATCCTCATTCACACAACTGGTGTCAGAGATCAGAGAGGCAGATACCGCATCAGATATGAGAGAGGAGGAAATATTTTCGTGAGCATCACACAGCTGACCAAGTCTGACTCAGGACTGTACAGATGTGGTCTGGGTGGATCAAACATCAGGTTTGAAATCATTGTTGTAGATGGTGAGTTTCTACTGAAAGTCATGAAAATGTTTTTTTCCTGTCTGAAGAAAAGCTTCACTGTTCACTGGTTCTGAAGTGAATGTTTTCTTTAACAGTTGTGGTTTATGAAGAGTATTTTTCCTTGTGTTCACCTGCAATCAAAGAATACTTAGACCACTTTTTCAATAGGCAAAGATCTATCATATTGTGTGCAGAGGCTGAGATTATGATGCTCTGAATCTTTGCTGGAAGAATCCAAATCAGTCACAGACTGGTAGAACTGGGCAGCTCCCAGTGTAACTGGGGATCACATTTGAAACTGTAATTATTGTGATCATCATGTTAAATACAGCCCACTAATACAGCAATTTATACTAGTTCCTCCTCCAGGTTGTGGATAGAGCCTCTGCAGTGGCCAGATGTAGATTTAGCCAGAGTCAGGATGCCATTGTGTCAAAATGTGCTCCTTCTAGCCGCCTCTTCCTGAGAGCAGGAGGAGGAGGCCTTATTAGGGCCCGAGCACGACCGTGTGAGGTCCCTATTGAATTTGCTCGGATTATATTTAGGGCCCGAGCACGACCGTGTGAGGTCCCTATTGAATTTGCTCGGATTATATTTAGGGCCCGAGCACGACCGTGTGAGGTCCCTATTGAATTTGCTCGGATTATTAGGGCCCGAGCACGACCGTGCGAGGTCCCTATTGAATTTGCTCGGATTATATATTTTTTTTTTTTCTGCAAAGTAGGCTCAACTGACATGGCCTAAACATACTCGAAAACTCACCAAAATTTGCAAACATGTCAGAACCGGTGAAAAATTTCGTATTCTACAAGTTTCGCACATGGGCGTGGCAAAATGACTCGCTAGCGCCACCTAGAAAATTGGAAATGATTAGCCCCTCGTTCACGTTCAACCTACATGTACGAAATTTTCTGGGGACATGTATCGTATCAAGACGCACAAAAAGCCTCAAGAACCCATAGCCTAAAGTCAACATGAAGTCGGCCATTTTGAATTTTACGGCCATTTTTGGATGATTTACACACTTCGTACTTTAACGAACTCCTCCTAGGGATTTAGTCGGATCGACGTCAAATTTCTGCTGTGCCTTCTAAAGGCATTGACGATGAAAAGTTGTGCTATTTGCGAGTTTTCGTCAATGGGCGTGTCCGTGGCGTCGATGATTCGCAATGAAACAGGAAGTTGTTGTAACTTCAGTGTACATGCTCACATCCGGACCAAACTGTACATGTAGGATGAGAGTCCCGCCCTGAACACATGTACATGCCGACATTCACCCACAGTCATAGCGCCACCTGCTGGCAACAGAAAGTGACCTTTAACGAAACAGCCCCCGTCGCACGTTTCACCTACGTGCACGAATTTTCTGTGGTACGTGTATCTTGTCCAGACGCACAAAAAGTCTCTTGGAGCCATAGCCTAAACCCAACAGGAAGTCGGCCATTTTGAATTTTACGTCAAATTTTGGATGATTTACACACTTCGTACTTTAACGAACTCCTCCTAGGGATTTAGTCCGACCGACCTCAAATTTCTGCCGTGCCTTCTAAAGGCATTGAAGATGAAAAGTTGTGCTATTTGCAAGTTTTCGTCAATGGGCGTGTCCGTGGCGTGGCGTCAAAGATCAACTCTTCGCCATGACACGGAAGTTGTCGTATCTTCAGTGTACATGCTCACATCTGCACCAAACTGTACATGTAGGATGAGAGTCCCGCCCTGAACACATGTACATGCTGACATTCACCCACAGTCATAGCGCCACCTGCTGGCAACAGGAAGTGACTTTTAACGAAGCAGCCCCCGCCGCACGTTTCACCTATGTGCACGAATTTTCTGTGGTACGTGTATCTTGTCCAGACGCACAAAAAAGTCTCTTGGAGCCATAGCCTAAACCCAACAGGAAGTCGGCCATTTTGAATTTTACGTCAAATTTTGGATGATTTACACACTTCGTACTTTAACAAACTCCTCCTAGGGATTTAGTCCGACCGACCTCAAATTTCTGCTGTGCCTTCTAAAGGCATTGAAGATGAAAGTTGTGCTATTTGCGAGTTTTCGTCAATGGGTGTGTCCGTGGCGTGGCGTCAGAGATCAAGTCTTCGCCATGACACAGGAAGATGTTGCAACTTACGTGTACATGCTCACATCTGAACCAAACTTTACGTGCTTGATAACTCAAGGGGTCATCTTCTCTGCTATTGGTGGACCAGTCAGACAGGAGAGCTCCTACTCTGCCTGCAGACATCAACGATCTTGCCCCTCACACAGTCAGATGGCTTCCTTCAGTGCGCTGAGGTGTTTAACAACTCTGAAGACAATACTACCAGCAATGTCTTCCTTCTCTTTTCACGTAGAAGCACCGACAGACAGTGCTTTCAGTTTGCTGCATGCATGGACACAGAACTGCGGTATAGGAAGAAGCACACGGTCAGCTGGCTGCAGCTAAATCTGGAGTGCACTCGTATTCAATTCTGTATGGTAAATTCAGTTTTAACGGAGCAGAGCGAGCTGACAGGCAGAGTTAGAGACTTTTTCTGTCCGTTTCTCTCTTTACAAAGACGCATGTTGCAGTCAGAGTCTTCTCTGAGATGCGAGCACGACATACAACACAATTGATCAAATTACACATCAGATATACAGTATGAAAATAAGATTGATTGGATTATACTCACAGGAAGTATAAAACCTGTTACATGCGTCTATTAAAAGTAAAGTAACACAAAAATGTCAGGGAAATTACTTTACTTAGATTTAAGTACTGCAGTTGTACATTTGAATTAAACATTTCACTGCCCAAGTCAGCTATAACACAAGTCTTGTTCATCAGACTACATGCTGTACAGTATTTGTGGACAGATTTTGTCCCAGGATTTATTATGCATTTCTTCTTCTTCGTTGCATGATTTAGAATAATAAGGTGAGAAATAGGTCTGTTCTGAGTTCATCCTGCACTGCAGCAGCTAATAAAGTCCATTTAATCCCAAAAACGCTTTTCTTTTAGGCAGGCTGGAGCAGAAAACAACTCACCTTTCTCAAGTTGTACAGTAATGTCACATGTGTATGAAGGTGGATCAAACAAGCTAATCTTAATTGTCAAAGTGGAGAGGATCCTAGTAGGCCTATTTATTTTCATTCATTACACAATATGAATAAGCTATGCAGACAGATGTAAAGAAAGAACATCTTTTTCTTCTGTTCTCTACTTGTTATAGTTACACAGTATTAGGGGTGTGGGCTGTATTAAAAGTATCCACTGTTCTCCCATGCTCTAACACACAGTAACGATGAAATGTGTGCTGTTCTCACATTCTTCCTCTGTATGTACACATAAGCAACAAGGCAGGGAAATATAAAAGGAATTTATTTTATTGGTTGGGTACATTATTGTTCAGTGTACATGCTCACATCTGAAACAAACTTTACGTGCTTGATAACTCTCCCACCCCGCAGACAATACCGATTTATATTCATAGCGGCAAGTGCTATGTAGCTCCACGTAGGGGACACAGGAAGTGACATATAGCACCTTCATGCGGCGTCATAACCGCGTAGCAAATTCACAGCCGCACCGGCAGAGCTCGAGAATATGCAACTCGGCCAGCTCACACGCGGACGCGCTTACAAGTGCGAGGGCCCGCCCAACGCTGCTTGCAGCTTTAATTCTATTTTACAACTGCTTTACCAAAGTTATTGTTTTAAATATTGTTCAGTAATCTTGTTTACATAAACTCATCACTGTGATGAGTGCTCAGTGTTTTAAAAAGCTGTGTCCATGCTGTAAAGGCTTTTTTCAATTTGTACAATTTTCAGGAAATCTGTTTCAATATTTTAAAAAGCTTTGACAATATTTTAAAGGTCCAGTTTTTCATTTAGGAGCACATGTGCTCCATGGGAAAAGGGAATCATAGAGCCCTGTGAGGCCCTTTTGTGTTTTCATTTATATAATTAAGGGATATTCACAGCATTTCCCTTTCATATCACATTCTGACCGCCTAATTGTAGTCACTGTTGCACTGTTGATATTTTAAAGTAAGTGGTTGCGTAGTAGTAATTTTAGGATTCACAGTGTGTACTCTTATCTAAATGTAGTGGTATGTGAACAGTGGTAAGGTGGTGACCCAGGGCGGGGTGCCTGAATATTTCCCTTATTATTAAATCCAAATGTTAACAGGTATGACTCTACTGGCCTTTTCAACATCAGTCCTGTAAGCTCTCAGACTGTTCATTTAAAACAGGTTTAAACTCATTTATCTCATCAGGACTTCTGCATGTTTTTGTTGTTCACAGCTCACGTAGTTCCCACTTCAAAACCAAAATTCACTCTACTGGTCTTTTCAACATCAGACCCATCAGCCTCCAAACCAACACAGATTTCTCAGACTGACCAGCAGCAGACTGGGACAGCATCACCTCGAGGTACATCCACACACTGTTTGATAGATGAAAGTCTATAACTGAAAGCAATTAAATTCAATTCAATTTTATTTATATAGCGCCAAATCTCACAGAGCTTTTCATAAAAGAGCAGGTCTAGACCGTACTCTATGATGCTATTTACAGAAGCCCAACAGTTCCCACCAAGAGCAGCACTAGGCGACAGAGGCAAGGAAAAACTTCCTTTTAAGAGGCAGAAACCTCGAGCAGAACCATGGCTCAGGGTGGGCGGCCATCTGCCTCGACCGGTTGGGGTGAAGGAGAGAGAGAGAGAGAGAGAGAGAGAGAGAGAGAGCGCGAGAGAGAGAGAGGGATGTAAGGAGAGAGAGAGGGGAGGGAGGCAGCCTACACAATATACACACAGAGGTACAGACAGTGAAGTTAATGTTGCTATAAACTAAATGAAAAATGGTACAGATATGTATAATAGTGTTAATGGTAACCATCGTAATGTTAATGATTATAATAACAATAATAACAATAAGACTAGCAACAATAGTCGTTGCAGCAGAGGGTGTCGAGCAGGAACACAGGGGCAGCAGGAGACCCGCAGCCACAGATCCAGACTCCACAGCTCCAGAGCCAGAAAACCTGCAGGAAGTGATAGGAGAGAGGAGAGTTCATTTAAAACAGGTTTAAACTCATTTATCTCATCAGGACTTCTGCATGTTTTTGTTGTTCACAGCTCATGTAGTTCCCACGTCAAAACCAAAATTCACTCTACTGGTCTTTTCAACATCAGACCCATCAGCCTCCACACCAACACAGATTTCTCAGACTGACCAGCAGCAGACTGGGACAGCATCACCTCGAGGTACATCCACACTGTTTGATAGATGAAAGTCTATTACTGAAAGCAATGACATGCAATTGTCCTTCCAGGACAGAGCAAAGCATCTCAGCCAGTGGCTTTGGAGAAGGTCCCAGTCAGAGTCATGAAATCAGACTTTGTGTATTGTCTTGGTGTGCATGTGTGTGTGTTAATGAGGTGATACAATAGAGCTGCATGTTTTTCATGCAGGTATGAGTTTATAAAAGTGCATATATACTGTATTATTGCAAGACATAGCTCCATCAAACACAAATCACGTGAGCTTCAACAGCACACTTCAGTTAGTTTAGTTTGTACAACCGACCAATCGCGAGTCCTGTCTTTTTCTGTCTTGTATCTAACTTGTATCTTTCCAGAACCATCAGATCGGTGAGACTTTGGATCTTTGTAGTACAATATGAAGGACCAGAATGAGCAATGGCTGCACCAAAATCATTTGATTTGAACAAACTGTCCCTAGTTGAAGGCATTGTGCTCCAGAATCAGCTGAAGAATGATATACACACGATTCACCCAAGGTTAAGTAGTTTTCACTAGTGAGAGTTAGCATAACTGTTAGCAACTGTAGAAAACACTGTTTCTATGGTTACATATACATGCAGTACTGATTTAGAACAGTGTCGACGTGTCCTGTAACATGATTTTATTGGATATCTGCCAGCCAATTGGAAATGGTAAAATGCTACTGTGTAAGAAAATTAAATACCTAATCGTGATCTGATACTTGTGTGTACCTTGATGAGCTCTGACTGAAAACCTTTGACCTACCCGATGAGAAAGAACACAGTTTGTTACAGAAAATTCTTCTCTTAAGGAATGGAGGTGACTTCAAAAAAAGATTCTTCTACTCTATTCTTTAAATTTCAATTTATTAGCGAATAGCTCCTTGAGATGCAGCATCTCGTTTTCATGAGGGTCCAAAGACACACATGCATAATACAACAGAAAAAATCCAACCCCAGGACAGAAAATACAAAAACGCAGAACAAATACTTAAAACAACTGAGTTACAAAGCAGCTTGCACCCTCACCCCAGACCAATGACGACGAAAACAGAATTTTAAACATTTCCAATAAACTTTCAGCAAATTACAAAAAACTAAAAACTAAATCAAAAGACACATCATGGTTCAGACATGTCATATCTCGTACAATAAGTACATCACATATAGTTGAGAAAGACAAGTTATTGCATATCTCTAAGTGAATATGTAGAACTACAAGGAAACAAGAGTACTTTCAGATAAGGAGGACAATCGAAATTGACACATTTGAAAATAAACTGAAACCAATTGAAGTCTCTTCCTGAATTAAGCTGAAGCCAATTTAGTGATTTATGCATTACACAATGATGAGTTTTAAAAGGACACCTCATAACAAATCTACACAGAGAGTTAAAGACCACATGAAGTGGGTTAAGAACAATGTCACTAGTATTCATGTAGATGATATCAGCCTAGTGTATAATGGGAAATATCATCTGAGACATTAACCTTTTCCTGACTTTAAATCTGAAACAATTAACAGATCTATAGAGTGAACTGAGACAACAAATGTTCTTTTTTATGTAATCAATGTGAGGTTTAAAGGTAAGCTCAGGATCGATCCACAGTCCAAGGTATTTAAATGAATCCAATTTCACCATGGAAGACCCATCTTCAAAATAAAGATGCAAATTAAGAGCACAAGGTGGTCATTTGTTATTGTGAAGCCATTTTTTCATCATAATATAGTAGGCTTGAGTGGAACCTTGAGGAACCCCTTTATCAACCAATAAATCATCAGACAACGAACCCTAAGACCCTAAGAGCAACTCACTATTGTGAAGTGTCTGTTGTGAAGACCATAACAGTGCACTTTGATTCAAACCTATTGTATAAAGCTTGTCAAGCCGGATATAATAATCCACCAATTTCAAAAGCTTTGGAAAGGTTGATAAAAATGGCACCAGCTACCTGTCCCTTATCGAAGTGGGAGAAAACGTCATAGGTAAACTTTGATAAAGCTATGGTGATAGAAGAATTAGGCCTAAAGCCAGATAGATTTGAAGATAAGATGTTATTCTGAATAATGTATTGTGATAATTGAATAAAAATTATTATTCATGATCATCATTCATCAATTAAGAAGCATGTAAAACAAACGTTTTCTTCTCTCAACCTCACAGGTGTGCTGCAGTATGTTGTTCCTATTCTTGTCATCATTGTCATCCTCTCAGGGCTACCACTGATGATAATCTACATTCAGTGGAACAGCAAACCTAAAGGTGAAGCAACAGGAAACACGTACACAGCAACGCTAACAACTGGAACTTCCCAATTCTCATTAAAAATTACAGTTCAGTCAGGACACTCATGTCAAAGTTTTCACCACTTGCAATAATACATACTGTAGTTTGACAGTGTGGCTCTGCTCATGCAATTCTCTGGAACACCTCTGAGCAACAGACTGTCCCTGAGGTCACACACCCACAAAATCTAATGAACAAGAAAGACATGTTAAAGAAATATACAAATCAACTAAATGCTAATACATGAGGAAGGTGGGGAGGTGGAAGGGCATTGCAGGGGCGCGCAGATAGAAATTTGGAAATACATAGCTTTCTTTCCTGCTGTTTGCAGTTTTTGTAAACCTACAGGCTACAGTGCGCTACTACGAGTTAGATCAGTTTAGAGACAACAGTATTTTGTAGCCATGCTAGGAGTGTGGCTCTAGAGATGACATTGTTAGTTGGTCAGTCCACCACTGTGGTCAACAACTAGTGGATCAATAGACGGGTTTCTGTGCAACGTCATCACCGCGATGCGCACGCTACCAGGGGACAGAAAGCAGCGCTCTGTCTTTGCGGCACATCAGTTTATATGGCATATCTAGCAGCAGTGTTTGGAAAATTACTCAGAAATTGTAATGAGTTCAATTTTAATTATTACTCATTTAAAAAGTAATAATAATACTAGGGCTGACCCCGAATAGTTGAAGATCGGATGCTTCAAGGCTGATTCGACTGTCAATCTCACAGTCGAAACTTCGCAGTGAAACAAGGATCATGGCATTTTGGCGATATGGGGGCGCTCAACATCTGATTTTACATAGAACTACCAGTTTTCTCCCAATACGTTAATATACAGACTATTCCAATACACATTTCAACGTTTAATGCTGTAAATAAACATGTAAAAAGAAAAACACTTTCAATAAATGTTGCCCCCCCCGGCTCGCAAATGCCGTGTACAAAAACACATATGATTTCGACTATCAGTCGACTATAGGCAGGCCTTGACGATTCTGATTCGACTATATAAATCCTTAGTCGGGGACAGGCCTAAAGATTACTTTACGTATTACTGGATATTAAAAGTAAATAGTCACGTTGCTTGTTTCGTTACAATTACTTTCAACCACCGCACCCCATCCTTAAAAGTGACGGGAAACTTGTTCAGCAGTGCAGTTTAGCAATGAATCCACTTTACTGGAACAATAATTAACCAAGGAGTCAACAACCATCCGAACTGAAAACACTGCAGCCTCTCAGACCAGGTGATGCTGTATCATATAGGCTATGGATATAGGCTATTTAAAAATAATAAAAAAGCAGGTCCCTCCTGACAATTCAGCTAATCGCGTATTCAGAACAGCAGCAATGAGTATGAATTTTACGAAGCATTATGGTTTTTTTTACACCACTGTTGAGAATATCTCTTAATTGATGTAACAGGGAAAGGTAAGACAGGTCTAGCTTAGAGTAATGTAGCTGACCCCATAAGTGTTTGACATTATAGCTTTAGGTATTTGCACACGTACTTGTCCTCATCAGGAACACAACAATAGGCTGATTAGTTAGAGACAGTAGCTCAGATGTCAGGCTAGCAGACATCAGTGTTCTCCGGGAATCTTACAAGGTTGAGCCATACAACAACTAACTGGCTCCACAGATTAGAGTACAACGAATGGATAGTGAGAGATTCCAATATGATGAAGCATTGGAGTCTAAACATCAGATAGTTAGTTGTTCTTAGTGAATGGTGACCTAATAGAGAAACCTACAGGCACTAGGGGGAAGACAGAAACATAAAAGGGACCAGGAGATGCTATCCTTCAGATTTGGTGTTGGCATTTGACGTGTTCACATGTTGTATGCTGGCACTGTATCTCCTCGGCCGGGCTCAATAAACCATGCTATGTTAAGTCTTCATCAGTCTCCGAAACTTTGGCACTCCTGAACCTGGCTCACAACAATATCATTTCAACAGCCACGGTGTGAGATTAAAAACAAATCAAGCAAGTGTCTCGACTTTTGAACTTACGTTAATGTTTTGCACATGCGTTTATAAGAGAAGTAGCCTATTCAGTACTTTTACCAAACACAAAACGTTGATTAACGCTACTCTCTCCTGCTGAGTAGATGCTTCACTGGCATATCACATTTGAGGAACAACATACAAGCATCAACTCAGCATCAAATACAGCAGGTCTACAACTGACCATACATACTAGTAAGAACAGCAATAAATGCTAGTAAGAGCTAATAGCACATATCGCATCAATGGGGTAAATACCTAGGGAAAGAATTAAGAGTTAACAAAAAAGTGCAATCAATACAAGATAATTGTGAGGAGATAGAAGAAAAAGAGGTAGAGTTAGAGGTGTTGAGTTTTCAAGAGCTTCTTGAAGTTAGAGAGGGACGCCCCTGCTCTGATGGCGTGTGGTAGCTCATTCCACCATCGTGGTGTCAGCGATGAGCCGGGACTGGGATTGCTTTGCGTTCATTGGAGGAGCGTAGTGGCTGAGAAGGAACCATTTGTAGGGGTTTCACCGCACAAGCTGGAAGACCTGCTAGGAGGACATTGCAATAGTTGAGGCAAGAGATAACCATGGCCTGTACCAGAAGCTGGGTGGCATACTGATTGAGGTAGGGCTTGAAAGACAGCTGGTCATCAATCCGAGTTTCTCACTACCCTGGTTGGAGTGCTGGTTGAGGAGTCAATTTGTAGTTTGATGTTAGGGTGGACAGATTGCTTGGCTGTAATGACCAAGAATTCAGTCTTAGAGAGGTTTCGTTGAAGGCGGTAAGCCTTCATCCATGCAGATATGTCCAAGAGACAGGCCGTGATCGTCTGTCAGGAATGATATGTAGAGTTGCGTATCGTCTGCGTAGCAGTGGTAAGGTAAGCCGTGTAAGCGAATGATTGGCCCCAGCACTGAGCCTTGGGGCTCCCCTGTGGAAGAGGTAGCGGGAGGAGGATAATTGTCCTTGCCACAAAACATTGTAGGAACGCTCAGAGAGGTAGGATTCAAACCAATCTGTTTATGGATAATATGTCCAAGGGGAAGCAGATACAAGGAAAACAAAATGGGTCCTAAGACCGACCCCTGAGGCACACCATATTTAACTGGACAGAACGAAGAGACATAGTTGTTTACAGACACGCAAAACTTTCCCACCCAGAGATTCCCACCCAGTGCCTCAGTCTGTCCAACAGGATGTTGTGATCAATGGTTTCAAAAGCAGCACTAAGGTCCAGGAGTACCAGGACTGAGCACATGCCTTCATCAGCAGACATTAAAAGGTCATTAGTGACTTTAAGCAGGGCAGTCTCAGTGCTATGGTACTTCCTGAAACCAGATTGAAACTTTTCAAAAAATAAAGTATAAAGACTGCTACATGGTAGGTTTTCCTGTGTCATGTTCACACAGTGGGCGCTGACCTAGCAGGGAATAGAATAGTTGATTTTGAGTGATTTAGAGAATTGGCTAGTTATAGCCACCACTTTGCCTGTGAGGAAAGCAGCAAAGGTATCAGCAGCCAAGTTTGTGGGTGGTGGAGGAGGAATTAGTAGCGCTTTAAAAGTGGAAAATAATTTCCATGAGTTGGTGGCACTGCTAATTCTGTCATCATAGAAAGCAGTTTTGGCAGCACTGATGCTTGTTGAGAAGGAGGATAGGAGCAATTGCTAGCCCTTAAGGTCGGCAGGGTCTTTGGTTTTTCGCCATTTTCTTTCAGCGGCTCTGAGATCAGTACGGAGTCCACAGATGGTATCAGTTAGCCACGGGTGGACTGGTTCAGACGAGCAGGTTTGGTGGATAGGGGACACAGGCTATCCAGGCACGAGCTCAGTATTAAGTACAAGATTGTGCGGCATCATTGACCTCGAGTGAGGTAAGCTACCACTGTGGCAAAGGGGCTGGTTCTGTAGGCATACCAGAACTGAATAAAGTAGTGGTCCGACATGTGTAGAGAAGTGAGACAGTTAGTCACTCCGTGGCACAGTTTCGGAGAAGAACAAGGTCAAGCACCTTGCCAGCTTTGTGCGGCGGGGGGCTGAGAACCCATGTTAGGTCAAAGGACTGAATCAGAGACAGGAATTCTGCTGAGTTTGATTGTCTAAGTGAATGTTCATGTCACCGAGAACAAGTAATGGACAGCATGCTCTGGGATTGAAGACAGCAATAGGTCTAGCTCGTCCACAAAGTTACCCTTGTTGTCCTGGTGGACGGTATATGACAATCACAGAGACCTTTACCGGAGCGGACACCAAGAAAGCATGATATTAGAAGGAGGTATATTGATTCCGGGGTAGCAGCAGTGTGAATTTCCATTTGTTCGAAATTAGGAGCCCAGTCCCTTCCAGACTTAGGGACTCTAATCCTAAGGGGACTCTAGCGCTTAGATACAGTCGTCACTGTAAATCCAGATTGTCCACGAAACAAACTCTGGTAAAAGCGGTTGACAGGGACTCTAATCCTAAGGGGACTCTAACCCTTCCTTAGATACAGTCGTCACTGTAAATGTAAAAGCGATTGACAGCGGGCCCTGTCAACAAGTTAACGGTGGACAAAACAGGGACTCTAATCCTTGTAATTCTACACGGCTCTGTTAAATGAGGATCAGCCGTGTGAGATGGTAGAATCAAAAGAGCACTTTAAGCTTTTTAAATAGTGAAAAGTCTTCAGTCTTAATTTAAAAGTTATCTGGGAGTTTGTTCCAGATATATGGGGCATAATAACTGAACGCTGCTTCTCCTTGTTTAGTTTTGACTCTGGGGAAAGAAAGCAGACCTGCCCTAGACGACCTGAGAGGTCTGGATGGTTCATAATGAAGCAGAAGATCAGAAATGTATTTTGGCCCTAAACCATTTAGTGCTTTATAAACTAACAGCAGGATTTGAAATCAATTCTTTGACATACAGGAAGCCAATGTAAAGACCTCATCTGCATAATTATTGTAACATAGCAGAGGTAGCAGAGTTTTCTGGTTTGTTCCAAGAGATAATGTGTTAGCATAAGCAGTAATAAAGTAAGCTTTGTTGACTGCAGACTGGCAGTTCCATGACCCAACAGAACAAAGTAAACAGATGTGGGTGGTGTCTGTTTTAAAGGTTTGAGGAGTGCTTTATTTCTGTGCCTAATGGCATGATACCTCTTGGGTGCACCGGAGACAACAGGGACAGTATGGTAGAAAATGGCCTGTGTGTAGTTGTAGCTGGCAGCTTTAAGTGAGTTGGTGTGCTTAGGAAAAGGAAAAACTACTCTTGTGGGTGGAGTTGCACAGGTAGACTCGCTGGTCTTTATCCAAGTAGGTCTTCACACAAGGAGCCAACGCTTACGCTGGCGCTTCAGTGATAGGTTTCACTGAAGTAGTATAATTGCATACAGGTTGTGCATTAAGCTGAGATCGCCCTCCGGATTACCAAGACAAAAAACTTGGTTTCAGTGGGTGGGACACACACCCAGTTGTTGAGATTCTAGTGGAATGCTCAGAAAAGTGCAAAGTCATAGCACATCAAGAGTAAGAAAATAGAGAATTGCATGCACCTCCAACTACTGCTTTCAAATGCTGTAATATCCTTTGTGGGGTTTATAAATGGTGATAAAAAAATATATATTTTTTAACATTTAGAGTCGTTGATATTTTATTATATTTAGTAGAAGTAGCATTCATTGAGCTTGAATTAAAAGATGTGATGATTAGCGAGTTTGATCAATGAGCAAAGCAAAGAGTGTGAAAACGACCTTAAGAGGTGGATGCATAATTCGGCAGAACAGATGTTGTAGGCTACTTGCCGAGATTTGCATCCACCTCCTTTCTCAGCCTACATGACCGTTATCACCCGCGAGGTGCATGCAATTCTCGGCATGCAAGCAGGCAGAATTCACCTGTTACCAAATCGCTTTTGCCCTCTGGCTGCGTGCGCATCCAGTAGTGTTTGTATACAAGAAACCTGTCCATACATTCTCACTCCAGACTCTTGGTACCCCTTTTGCGTCAGTTTTAGACATTCAGGGCTCCGCTGTGAAGTTACAAACAATAACACTTGGCTTTCGAAACATCATTTCATTTCACATAATTTAAAACAGCACGTTATTAAAGTCGTGAAACGTTGCAATATGGTTAGATTTAGGCACAAAACGTACTTGGTTAGGCTTAGGCAACCAAACTACTTGGTTATGGTTAAAAAAAGATCGAAAAAAATAGAGAATAACTATGTATGTCAGTTAACATGTAAGGTAACTTCCATAATTTACGCAATTTACGTCACTTGCATAACTTAAATAAAAATATTTAACGTTGACTTTTTGTTTCACACGGGACACGAACACTTTTCTCCTGGTTCAAAGTCCAGGTTATGGCCCTCTATCCACCCCAACCCGCTCCTTACACAGTCCTTTCTGTTAAATATCATATAACTATAACCTTTAACGTCAAAATCTGACTGACTTCCCCCTTTGCACTGAACTATGACGCTATAGGGATCGCCAGTGCATTACAAACCGACACCGATGGGTCTTGACCACGCGTCCATATGTGACTAGTCAGGCAGTGAGAACGGGTTGATTGGATGGAATGCCATTTTTTTGTTTATAATTTTTAATAGAGAAAAATACTTTTGTCTGTTTCACAGGTTTGCAGACCAGAGGAAATTCAGATGAAACAATCATGGAGGTGACTTTCTTTTACTCTTTGATTACTCTAATGTTGGATAAGATGTACCAGTGTAGGTGACAATAGTTTAAGATGTCCTTAGCAAATTTTCAGGATTGGAATCAGGGCAGATTTTAAGAGATGGTGATGGCTTAAATAAACCCGATCACATGCTGATCTCTGCTGTGTTTAGTCACCTTGTTGTGTTGCAGCGCAGCTCTCCTTCACATCTACAATGCAGCATTTCACTGCATATAGGTGTAAAAATAAGAGGGTGTAACATCATTTGGGCGCACAGCGAGTGGATCTTGAGTTCTGACAAGAAAAATTCTCAGATTCACTCTGACCCTAAAAAATCTGGTATTGAATCTTTTATCTTACATGTTTAGCCGGCACTGACTGCCAGGTTCACCGCTTAAAAAGACAAACGTTGGCTGATTAACGTTAATTCTGTAAGGGCCAAAAATGAAACTTTTCTTTGTCAGGTTGTCAAGTGCTGTCGGTGTCTGTACAGCCAAAGATCATTTGGGAGTAAAGAGCTCCCACTCTGTTACTCTGCTGTACAACCACAAATGGACTGTGTTTCTTTTCCAACTATTTAAACAGTCTTCTCTCTAGTTATAAATATTTAATGATTTAAGCTTACAGTTTAAACCAGGACCTGTTAAACTATTGTCTTACAATGTTTTGTAGGTTACCTTTATTTCTTTATTTACTTTTTTTTTTTTTTTTTTACAATTGATAACAAGCATTTTTCAGTACTGAGTTTACTTTTTCAAAACTTTTAGCACTGTTGTCTGTACCAACACGCCTCAAATGTACCGAAACACTGCAAACTTGTTAATAATAATTTTACAAAAATACCAGCAGTAGTTCTCTCCAACAGCAACATTTTGTCACTCATAACACAATTTCCTAAAAAACACTAACAACACGTAGCATTACAATAGACGCATCATTTTATGTGAATCTTTGAAGTAGTAAATCATTTTGTGTTCTTTATTTTTTTTGATTGGCTAAAATTGTTGTTGTGGCCAAGTCCACGTAGATAAAAACATGGGGTGTGTGATGGGCTTCCAGCTCCACGAAGAAATCCCCTCTGTTGGGGCTAGTCGTTGGGTCCTAAAGAAGAAATACAAGAATTACACACAAGCAGTAATGTCAGAAGATTCTGACAATTGATGCCACCGTTGAGCGGGTTCACATTTGGCTGCTCTCTGAAACCAGTCTCTTTCAGTAATGGCCCATGGTTGATTACCTGGTTACCACAGTAGCCCTAATGTCATCAAAGACTACAGCTTTTGGTCATTTCTGCTGTTGTCTACACTACCACGCATGCAGAATCTTCTTCCTCTCTGTACCACTCTTTCTCCTCCGTCTCTTGCAGGCTCCAGTGGGGTGGAGGTGTAACAAAACATTTCAAAGATGTCTCCTTTTATAGGTGGTAAAGAGATCACTAGGTGAAAAGACCAGGGTAGGGCTCTAACTGAATGGGAATGACCTTGGTATCATTTACATAATTTCAATCAATACAATTTCACTATTTGTCTCCATAACCATCTTTTTTAGGATTTTGAATGAATTTCAATGGGGTTTGGATTTTGGCAAATTGCTGTCCATTTGAATGTATGTAAAGTTGAACATAAATTTAACAGTTTTGAAAAGACTATATAAGCATTTGCAAAATTGGCTGTGGATACACACAGTTTTCCTGCCGGTTAACTTTGAGTGAGAAAATGATTCTTAAATTTTGTAAGCCATAGTCATTGAACATATTTTGTGTTAAATCATTGCATTTTGTATTACAGCAAGGCAAGAGTCAGTCTCAGTTTGGTCCCATAGACTTCTGTTGAAGTCATTATTGAAAAATGCTTGTTAGCAATTGTAAAAAAAAAAAACTGTAAGATACTCCACCTAAAACCAGTCCTCCATCATAGAGTTCAAACCTTTGCTGTTTGTGGACAGTGGACTCAAGTCGTCAGGGAGTTCACAGTGAAGAAAATAATCAAAATGTCAACAGAAACAAAATCACTTCTGCAGCATAATCCTCTTCCTTCACTGTCCGTCACTCATGTGTTTATCAAAATATAGGTAAGCAGAGAGCTTCTGTCTCCACCCTCATGTACAAACTGATTGTTATGGTTTTCATTTCCTGCTTCCTGCTCTCACCTGTCACCTCCAAAAATGTATTTAAAAGGATGTCTATGAAGATTCTCAGTCATCCAGGTCATAGTTATCCAACAAAAGGTTAAAATCAAGGGCAACTGGACGTTTCGTCCCTCATCCAAAGGACTTCTTCAGTTCTGAACTGAAGAAGTCCTTTGGATGAGGGACGAAACGTCTTCCAGTATCTTCAACCAAGTCCAGTTGCCCTTGATTTTAACCTTCGTTGGATATTTAAAAGGATGTATCTCTATTTCACTGTAGGTCATTCTCTGTCAAAATGTTTTTTTTTGTTTGTTTTCAGATCGCCCTCTATGAGAACTGTCCTCCAGCTTCTACATCTGAGTCCACTTACGAGAGCCTCGATCCTGCAAGCAGGGATCAGAACCAGACCTACGCTACACTCACACACACACAACACAAATGACATTCTTTGTGTCATGTGTTTAGACCTTTGTCACACACAGGTGTGAGGTTCTTTTCTTATACCAGCAAATTATTAGTTAATTCCACTGTTAAGGAAGACACCAAACCTTTATACAATTTATTCCCACTACTACACAACTCAATAAAAATGTCAGGGACAATATAAAAGGCTAAAAAGTTTTTAAAAGTCCGGCATTAAGAAATGGAACAGTCCAATCTACCTGAGTTCTAAAAAAAAAAAAAAAAGGGAAAGGGGTTTGGCAATGGCTACGGGGGAATAACAGACAGCGTTAAGAGACTGGCACATTAATTCAGCTCACACACACACACACACACACACACACGTAGGGTGCGTTGAATCATGTTCTTCCTACTCCACTGGTTCGTCTGGTCTCTCGTGCACTCTTACTCTCTCCACCCCCGTACCGGTGGCAATCGACTCCTCTGTCCGAGCCAACTTCGATCTCCAATTCCACTTGTATGCCCCCTTTTGTTCTCTCCCTTCGTTCTTCTGTGTGGTCTGCCATGCCGTTCTCCTCCCGTTCAGCTCTCTCCCAGCTCTCAACCGCGTCCTCTTCTTTCTGTCTGGTCCCTGTCCCATGCTGGGATTCAACTGTCCACAATCAATTTAACCAGGGCCAAATCTTTTCTCCTTCAAATCAGGCCCCGCGGGGTGTGTCGTATAATCAGTCCCAGCCGTCGATAAGTAGAAATCAGTAAAACCAATAAAACACAAACCATCCGATAATATAAAACACACCAAACATGCAATCATCAATCTGTCAGCCAACACCCAGCACCCACCACAACACAAAATTCAAAGTCAAACCTAGATATCAAGTTAGCTAACTTTAGCTTGCTTGCTAATGTGGACAAATTGCTAGCTGTCTAAAGAAGCAAAATACCATCTTGAATGGATAATATCAGCTGATTCATCCAGACTCCCAGGGCTGATTTCGCTGGTGGATTGGTGGCTTGCCATTTGCCAGTTACTTTGTTGCTCTGGCGTTGTGAGCAGCAAGCACCATGCCAGCGTTTTATGACTGATTATAATTATTACTTACTATACTTATTTGCTGTTCTTTAATGTTAGTTAATGGAATTATATTACCCTGTATACTTTGTGTGTATTAATAGATAATGGAAGAATAACAGCTAACGTGGATTCTCAACAAAATAAAGAATGAAAAATGTAAAGATTAGTTTTGCTGTCCTGTCATGAATCAAGTTGTCCACAGATAACTGAGAAAACAGAGACCACCAAAGCTTTCCACTTTGCCCAGGTATCTGTCAATACATATAGAAAGGCTATCAAGAGACTTTGTGGTTAAATAAATGAATATATATATATATATATATGTCTCCACATGGACCAAATGACATCTGTGAACATCCGAAGTAAAATTGCATTTAACGAGGCACAGCAGACAACACTGACCACTGTCAACTCTCTGCACCTCCTCTTCAGCCACAACCCCACTTACTGTTTTTTTTTAACTGCTTATACTTTTTTCAAAACTCTACACACAAACTTTTTATTTATTTATTTATTTATTTATAAGGAAAATCAGCATTACTTTAAATGAGCCAGTGTTAGCCTGCTGACCTTAATGATAAATGTACAGAACAAGTACAAACGCCTCATATGTCAAAATGAAACACTGTATTCAAAATACCACGAACAGATCCCAAAATCAAGCATTTGCATCAAATGGCAAACACAAATTTTAGGATATACCAGTGCAAAGTTAAGCTTCATCCCACAAGACTTTCTCTTGCCAGACAGCATTACAGTATTTTACAATACTGTAATGCTGAAATAGTCATTAGATAGTTGCATTCCTGTTCTCATTTCTTAAGGTTCAAATTATGGACGCGACTGTAAAGACACTCAAGTTGAACTGGACTCTCAGTTCACTTTCTCTCCTGGTTGATCACATGATCAATAAGTGTGGAGCTGATCTCATCAGAGATGGCTCTCATTCCCTCTCTTTGTATTGGCCTTGTACTCTTCTAACTCATCCTCTTCTTCCTCTTTCTTCTCATCCTCCTCCGCTTCCTCTTCTTCCAACTCTTCCTCCATGAACTTGTCCTCGTTGTCCTCGAACCTGTCTCTCCCTCCTACTACCCTTGCTCCATTGTTCAAAAAAGGTAATCTGACCTTTGGCCTGTTTATAGGCCTATACTAAAGCAGTGATTGGTTAGAGATCAGTTAAGCAGTTAGAGTTTGTGAGGAGTGGGTGTGTGACCTGGTGAAGAAGCAAGCATTTTGATTGGTTGCGTTTTGGAAAAGTCACTTCCTGTTATATTTTGTGTCTTAGGTAGAGAATTGTGTGTAGTGTTTTGAAAGAAAGTGTTTTATGCAAGTGTGTGAAAGGTTGAGAAATAGCTTATGGTTTTAGAGTGTGCAGTTTTACTCTTTTAATGAGAGGTTTCAAAAATCATGTGACATGCAAAGATTTTGTGTGTAAGCAGTTGTGAAAAAAATATTAATTGCCATTCCCTGCCTGCCCACCAGATGCCCTCAAACTTTTTCCCAAGCAACGTCTCATCTGTTCTCACTTCCCTCAGCAGTCTCTCACTACGGTCCAATCCCCATTTCCACCCTAAAGCAAAAAGCTGGACACACTGGATCTGTTGGATCCTATTCATCTTCTGTGGCAGGCAGGTGCATGATGGAATGCAATCTGAATTTGTATAAACACAACTTGCTCAACTTTACAGAAATTAGCCTGTTCAACACAACACACCAGGCTCACAAAACTGACTGCAAACTAAAACTAGGCAGTGCTGATCAAATATGAATCAAGATTCTGTTACAGGGTTGCTTATTTCTTGCTTCAGAGGTTTTCAGAAACATATTTCAGTGTACTGATTAGATCGTTGAAAACAGACAATCCACAGCTAAGCACAACCCAACTTGCAGTTTTCTTATCCAGTTGCAGAGCATTCATTGGTTGGCTGCATCCAGATGCATCTTTGATTCTGTGTGTCTCCAGTTTAAGTCCTGAACATAGCGTAAGCAAATATACAACGCGTTGGTGACGCTCCCTGGTCAGCTTGCGCTCACTGCCTGATGTTGGTTTCTGATCAGAGGCTGAATATGGTAAATATCACAGAGTTTTAAAACGAAAATGTCATCAGCGGAACATCAGCGGTTTAGCTGCATATCAGAACTGATCTCAATCTACATTATAATGACTGAAAACGCACTGTGAAAAGTGACCGTTCATGTACGGCACACCCTTGCCGGTGTAAACATGAAGCACATGTTCTACTTCACAGTTGCGGAAGACTTGACGAAAGAAGAAAGTAATACAGATGAAGAACCACAACAGATATTTTGTGGCTTGTGAAAGGCAGGTCCCACGTGACCCTGCCCAGGGGAACCCCAAACAAAGAGAGAGGGGGTCCCGCCAGTAGGCCAGATCAGGGGCCTCTGTCTCACCGGGTCGAAATGCAGGCGGATGAACCAGCACTGCAGCCTCCTCCTCCTCATATGGAAGAGGCCCAGAGGGACCACCACGTGACCGCCAACATGAGGCCCAGAAGCCTCATGACCGACAGAGCTGCCACTGCCGCTCGAGGGACAACACGGCAGAGCAGCTCCACCAGAGAATCCCCCCCTCTCCTGAGTGAGCCGCGTTCTCCAGAGAGAGGAGTCCAGTACCACGCCAAGGGGTAGATGGGTAAGATGCTTGCCTTTGGTGTGGGAGACCTGGGTTCAATTCCCACTGTGAGACATCCACCATTGTGTCCCTGAGCAAGACACTCGTTGCTCCAGAGACGAGCAATTGTAAGTCGCTTTGGATAAAAGCGTCAGCTAAATGTAACGTCAACAGCACCACATCTTCGTCAGAAAAATATCTGTACTGGGTGTGTATATGTTCTGTTCACACAAAGCGAATGTCGTGGACTCGTACAGTTTCTGTGGGGAGGGGTGTGTGAAGGGACCTCTGATCGTGTAGACAGAGTGCTTGTTGCTTTGAGTTCAAGCTGCAGGTTAGCCACTTGGCTCACAGTGTGGGAAATGTGTGCTTGGTGTGGCTGGGTCGGCCAGCAGCAATGAAACCGGTTAGCAGCAGCTAATGTGGAGCAACGTGGGCACACGGGTTCTCCCTGGTTGGCTGATGCAGGCAGACCGCATGTGAGCATCACGTTAGCTATCCGGTAGCTCAACGTTAGCTCAACGCTCGGAGACCCATGAATGGGAAGATGTAGCCCGTGTGGCAGACGTCAAGCCGTCTTCTTGTTTTCCGGCTGGAGAACTATTGCTATTTTCTCTTTTGCGCGGAAGGGGTAAACCCAATAGCGTTAGCCTTAGAGAGCGAAGCCTATATGAAATAGAACCTTGCTTCCTCTTGTGACGGCGATAATTTGTTAATTAAAGCAAACCAGGCAGCCTTCCGTGTGTGAGACCTGCACTGTTTTCTGGAGGGGGGGGGGGGGGGGTTTGACATCGCCCACCAAGGGGCTGCAGCGGTGCAGTCACAAGTCCAGTTCAATGAAACACCTCAAACCCAAGTAGTTCATTCAAGTTTGGAGAGTTCGTTGTGACTAGCGCTGTGAGGGACAGGGTGATATAGAGCAGCCCTCAAAATTCCAATGATGCATGGCGGTGTAGAAATTTTTTAATAAAATTTGCTAATAAGTCTCCTATTTGTTTGAAATACAAGTGTTATTTTATAATGTTTTGTTAAACATGTCTGCTTAGAAAATAATGTTTTTTGTTGGTAATTGTCATTCTTGAGGTGGCTTACTGTTGAAACCAGGACGCTGATGAAGAAGAAGACTTAATTTCATGTAACAATGAGGGGTCCCATAGCACGGTGTTAGCGGTTGTGCTAAGAGAAACAATTTGTTTGAAAGTCGTCGGATGTCTTCCATAAGGTCAGCAATCTTTTTGTTCGCTTTCTCAAGTAGTGTGCAGTCCTCATGGGGCAGAGTTATCTCGGCTAGCATAACATTAGTCGCCGGAGTTGTGGTCAGTAGCGTTGATAGCTTTTTTACGGTCATCTAGTTTAAAATCCATGTGGGATGACCTAAATCCTTAACCCACATGAAATTTAAGTTAAAAACTCAAGTTAAATAAAAGGATACAAAAAATGTAACATAAAAGTGTGGATTAAAACTGGATAAGAGTCCGGTTTAAGACGGAGCTTCCGAAAGGTAGCTACAGACGCCAACGCATGCGCAGAGTACAGATTACGTCAGCGATTACGTCATGTCATGCGATTACATCTCGA